GGTTATAAAGTGTGAAACCCCGCAACTGTGAGATAATTAATTGTAGCCGTTACTTGTAGATTGTTAAATAAACAAATTAACCATCTCTACGGCGTCTTCTGTAACGCGAAACACGTTACAATATATATATATATATATATATATAAAGCTAGCACAAAACAGAACTTTCACTTGACTCACTATATATAAAAATTAAATTAAGTTCCAGACCTACATCCAAATTCTTTGGAAATTTATAACTTCCAGCAACATAACTTGACACAATTAAGGACACTCCTCTATCAACTTCAAAGTAATACTGTTTGGCAGGAAGCTACAAATAAATGGTTATGTGTGTTTGATCATGTTGCCAATGTTGTATACAAATATCTGTATGTCTTAAAAATAACACTAATTCTGTCCATGTTCTTCTTTTAATTTACAACACTTCCAGTTATAATTTTACTGGTACGAGCATGGGATCCATTTCATTCACTAGTGGTAACATACAAATTCATCAGACTGGTAAAATGGGTGCAGAGTTTATTGTAGAGCATAGCTCCACATAATACACAATGGTTTAACTTTGCAAGAGGTTTGGGATGTAGATGGCATATGGAAAAATGAATGTGGAAACAGAATTTCAGATTGCTGATGCAGACCACCAGTTCCCAACCACTTCCTGATTTTCATTAAAGAACCAATGCCCATACCAAAGCATGTTGATGTGACTTCTCACGCAGGTCCTCTAAGAAATGATGCAGGAACTGTTTTGCTTCACTAAGTTTTCCTTCATCACCATGAAACAGCTGGATGACATCAGCAATGCCATGAAGAGGTGGAATGGACCTAACAAATGTTGAAGATGGTGGCATAAGGCCTGGGAATATAGAAATCACCTCCCTTGGATCAACACTGCCACTGACAAAGAGCTCTTGAGCTTTATCAAATTCACCATTTGAAAAATGGATGAATGCTGCCTGTTGCTGAATTTTATGATACAACTTCTGGAACTGTTCTTTTGTCATGCCCACTCGATTTGCATTCTGTGCCAATTCCAATGCTTCTTCCACCCTGGAATCTGCAAGCAAGACCTAAAACACAGATTAAAACATCATATATTAAATACTGAAGTAGTAATGACCATTCTGACAATGTTATACAGCATTACACAAATCCAATTAATTAGCTTAATTTTTTATAACATGGATGTTCTTCGCACATTACACAATTAGTAAGGTAAGGCAAAGTTGTCCCTGTGCTTCATTAGTTAAGCAGTATGCAAGGAAGACATATGGGGAGTGGAGGTATACCTCCACCTTTCTTGACCTCAGCACTAGATGGAGGTAAGTGGTTGGCTTCACGCCCCTGCAGCTTTACCCCCAGGGAAAGAGCACCTGGTACACATTGGATAGGAGGCTGGGTGGACCCCACAGTTGGTCTAGATGCTGTGGTGAAGAGAAAAATCTTGCACTGATGGAAATTGAACCCAGATTCTCCAGCCCATAGCTATACTGACTGAGATATCCTGACTCCATTGCACAATTAGTATTTGTAAAAAAAGAAATAACAGATTAATGTACTATATTCATGAGGATGATTAAACATGTATTACACAAATAGTATACACGCTGCATCTCACATAGTCCCAGACATTCAGCCTAACTTTTTTTTTTTTAATTTTTTAATTCGCTTAGTGGGGGGTGGAGTCCTACTGGGTCCACTCGGCACGGCAGCCACTGATTGCCCTATTGTAGCCTGCCCCGGGTGATTATGATGATGGAGAATTTTGGTGGAATGAAGATTGGCAGGGGAAACCGAAGTACTCAGAGAAAACCCGCCCCAGCACCACGTTGTCCACCACAAATCCCACTTGACCGGACCCGGGCCACCGCAGTGGGAAACCAGCATCTAACTGTTTGAGCTATGGTGCGGCCTCTTCAGCCTAACTTACTAGCAGTTATGTAATTAGACTGAATATGTAAGTGTAAAGAGAAGTACAGTAACTTGTACAGCCAGAAAAAATAATCAGAAAGGCCTCAGAATGTGCTACACACTCTAAAAAAGGCTTATAAGACTTGGAAGCATGCTTGGACCTACAAGGGTGTTAAGTTATTTACTAACAATTTGACATTATTAATGTATGGACTAGAAGGAAGAAGTTATTGCGATAATGCCATGATATAACCTGAAGGCTGATCAAGATGATATTGGTGTTTATCTATCAGTATCATTGCTGCATTACTCTCTAGTGGTGACTTTGCCCAACAGCCATAATACGCATGACCAGTTAAGGGTAGCTAAGCAGAGGCAAAGAAGACTAGGTCTAAATTGACTAAGAGAGAGGAAGTGTTAAGACTACTGAATTTGTACATAATTGTAAATAAAGGCATTGTCTGAAGGGTTGTCAGCCAGATGATACTCATTTTCCTTACCCCAATCTCATGTGGGAAATGCCCTGATCAGTGATTGATAATCCTAATTTATTCCAACTATCTACAGAACTGGACATGGAGATGAAATATGTTACATCACTTCAGCTGTTCTCTTATGGCAGCTACAAAAGGAGGTGAAATATGGCAGGATTTAACAGATGGTACAAGAGCTCTCTTCTTCCCACTCCAGCCAGAATGCAGCTAGTGGCAACACTAGTAAAATTTTAGGCAAAACTGATCCCCCCTTCCAGTGCCAAGCAAGTGATGGCAGTGGTGTGGTTAGAGATGCCTGCCAGTTACCAATATTAATTAATGCAATAATCTACTTGGAATTTGATATGCCCTCCATCTGTCAGTTATTCATGCAAGCAGAACATGGCATTGTGCAGTTAAAAAAATTAAACTCAAGGAGTATGGATTCAGAATTGGGAATAAAAATGTTGTGGCCTGTATAGAAGTATTTTCCCAGCACTCAAATGACTGAGAAAACTTACAATGGGGTTTCCTTATTCAGTATGCTCCGTATATATGTGGGTGTGAATCAGAGCATTACCTCGACTTGCTTCTCCCATGGTACTGGTGTCAGGCTATACACAGCCATTCCAGAAGTCACATAAATACGACCATCAAAGTTACCAATGCTCCTTCCACCAATGAATGGAAGAGCCTGCTTCTGCTGCTGGTCCAAGATACTGTTAGCACAAGAATAATGCCCATCACATTTCAGGCAACAAAGTAGAAAAAGTACTAGAGGTAATGGTGAAGCACAGCTATTGAAATAAGCATTTAATATGTAAATAAGCATATAAAATTACATAAATTTGAAGGACTAAACTTAATGAGTTCAGTGTACAGTACAACACAGCCCTACCACATAACCTACTTTTATGTGTGGGATAGGCCCAACCCCTTAATTGAATTTTCATGAGCTTTAGTTCAGTAGTTTCACTTCTTCTTTAGTTGTGGTGTAAATTATAATTTGGTTACTTATACTCTACACAGGCAAAGATTTATTATATTTAAGAGATACTGACATGCTCTTTTCTGCTGTGTCTGTTCTTGGTTTCTATGCTGCTGAATTCAGAAGTTTCGGAGGGGCATATGAATTATCCTGTATATATTAGCCATAATGTTTGAAGCATTTATTTCATTTATAACCAAAGTCAACAAATTATTCAAATCTCGCTCCATATTCTTTACTATATACCTGTACACCATGATGACATCATCACTGAGGCCTAGAATGTAAGGATGGGAGTATGCAAGAGCTCGCAGAGGATATGACCACTGGATTGGTGGTCTGTTGGACATACCCTCTGCATTCACAAACATTCCAAGCCCTTCAGGTGCACTCAACAGAAATTCTTCCTGGAAAGAAAATGTTATGTATCTTCAGCCTGGTCTCCATCACAAGCAGAACATTACAAACTCCAATCTTATTGCCAACCTTGGTAATCCTGCGGATAATGGGGAGAAAATTTTCTCTGCCATAAGTGAAGAGTTGCTGTGTGAAGTTAGTGTCAAAGTTGTATACAGTATATTGCGTCAGCAAAGCAGCACAGATGTATGAGCCATCAACTGCAACACCAATTGCTGGCTCTGGCACCCCAATATCCTTGATATGAATCAGCTTCTCCTCAGTCACATTGTACACCTGGAGCTGTCTCTTTCGAGCAACACAAATCTGTTGGCGGAAGTGAAAATAAAAGAACTGTGCCAATAATTATGCTCAACAAAGAGAATGCTAGCGAAGATGGGTGAGAATATCATACATTAATGAAAAATTATGTGTGACAACATCCTTAATTGATGAGGAAAGTTCTGTCATAGAGCATCTACTGTCTGATCATTTACACCTGTTTTAAAATTTTTCTAGGAATAGTAATGACCCAAAGTTTCTACAGCTCACAAACCATGAGGTTAAAACCATTCATGATCACCCTCGCATTTCATTCAATATCTTGGAATCAGTAAATAATACATGAATTTATTCATACTGAGATTTCTATCAGTAATACACTGATAAATGCCTGTAATTATTCCTCATCACTGTTGAATTGATATACGAGGGGGTACCCAAAAGAAACTGAACTTATTTTTTTTTAACTTATTTATTCAAATTTTAAGCACAAACCTTCAATCCCCTTCAAAGTACTCTCCACTTACACTAATACACTTGTCTAGTCTTTTATTCCATTTTTCAAAACACTGTCTAAATTCATCTTTTGAGATGCTTGACAGCGCCTGTCGTTTTTTCCTTCACCTCAGCAACATCAGCAAAACGCTTTCCTTTCATGTCTCTTTTCATTCGAGGAAACAAAAAAAAGTTATGATCATTTCGGGACTCTTCTTTCAAAGCACAGCATGCTTCCATGCAACCTTATTTTTGTTCAGCAGTCAGCAGTCATGGCACGAATTTCGCAGTCACCCTTTTCATTCCCAAATCTTCTGTCAAAATTCGCTGAACTGAGCTCCAAGTCACTCCCGACAGCTCCACAATTTCTTCAATGGTCCGTCGTCGATCTTCCTTGATGATTTCACGAATTTTTTCAACATTTTCATGTGTTCGGGCTGTGGAAGGACGACCAGAACGAGGTTTGTCATCAATTGACATTTCACCATTTTTGAAACGGGAAAACCACTCAAACACTTGAGTTTCCCCCCACAGCATTGTCCTTGTACGCCATTTTTAACATTTCAAGAGTTTCTGTTCCACTTTTCCCGAGCAAAAAGCAGAATTTCACCGCCGCACGCTGTTCACGAAAATCAGCCATTGCAAAAACAACAATCACACAAAACAGTTGTCACTATAAACTCTGCCGAAACTAGTCCTTACCTTCTGAAGCAACGGTAGTCGGCTTATCGACTCAGGAATGTTAGCTCTATGTGCTCATAGCGGCAAAACGCGGTACTACAAAAGCTCTGCCCACAAAAAAATTAGTTCGGTTTCTTTTGGGTACCCCATCGTATATTCCATCAGAAATATTATTTCACTTATCTTCAGCCTTGTACACTTTAGAGAAAGAGTGAAGGATACCAAATGCTAAATGACATTTTCCTTGCTACAAATACAAGGTGGTTCAAATATGACTGAGACTGATTTTTTTAAAAAAACCATAATTGCCAAACACTTACTTGCACATGTCAGTCTTCAACGTACTCCCCTCTGAGTCAACACATTTTTTCCAACGTTCTGGAAGCATCCTGATGTCCTTTTCAAAAAAGCCTTGTGGTTGGCTGCGTATCCACCACCAAACAGTCTGGATGATGGTGTCATTGTCCACAAACTGCATGCCTTGCAAGTCTGATTTGAGCCTTCCGAACAGGTAGAAATAACTTGGGGACAAATCTGGATTGTACAGCAGATGTGTCAGAAGGTTCCATTTCAATTTCCGGAGGGTTTCCATTGTTGCCTTGGCCATAAGGGGGCGTGCATTGTCTTGAAGGAAGGTTACCTACTTTCCACCTGTCTTCCGCTTGGATCGGATCTTTTCCTTCATGTTTGTTGCCAGGAAGTCTGAGTAATAAGCTGCACTGACTGTTCTGGCATCTGTCAGAAAGTCTACGTGGATAATCGCCTGCCAGTCCCAGAAGAACATTGCCATCACTTTTCCTGCCGAACGGCTCCTCTGCGCTCTCTTGGGTTTGGGAGTACTGGTATGCTGCCACTCGCTTGATCACTGCTGGGACTTGGGAATGAAGCAGTGCACCCATGTTTCATCGGTGGTCACTACAGGCTTCAAAAATGCATTACCTTCATCTTCAAACTGCTGTAGGAGACGACTGGCAGCTTGCATGTGCACCATTTTGCTCACATCTGTCAAAGTGCATGGTACCCACCGTGTATTCACCTTGTGATAGTGCAGGTGATATTTCACGATATCTTCTACACTACCAACACTGATGGACAGCATTGTTCCAAGTTCCTTGATAGTGATGCGCCTATTCTCACGAATAAGCGTGTCTGCACAATCAATGTTTGGCTCGGTGAACAATGTTCGCGGCCGATGATCATGTGGTTCATTCTTCACACGCTCTCTGCCCCTCTCTGAAGCACTTACACCACTCAAACACACGGGTCCATGAGAAACACTCTTCCCCATACTGTTGTTGGATTCTGTGGTGAATTTCAGCAGACGGGACGTTTTCTCTGAGGAATTTGATCACAAGGCGTTGGTCCATGCTCCACGGTACCTTCTGTTCGCTCATCACTCTAGCAACTCCCAGACAGGACTGAACAGGTTCCAACCCGAACAGGAGGGAGGGTGGAGGTTGTGGCTTCACTGTCTCAAGGTCGCACAGCTGCTGCGCAGTGCGGCTTGTTTACACAAAAATCAGCCCCGGTCATATTTGAACCACCTTGTAGTGTTATTATGCAACCGTAAAGACAACAAATTTGTAATATATAAACCAGTATATTAATATTAATTTATTATGTACATTTGCTACATGTTTCAAACCAGCTGGATCATCATCAGAAAATACTGTCACGTATTCCAGGTTAGAGCCGGTCACGGTAGCCGAGCGGTCTAAGGCATGCACTGTCTTCGCTCGCTCGGAAGCTGGGATCGTGGGTTCGAATCCCACTCAGGACATGGATGTTTGTGTGCGTTTTTCTGTGTTTGTCTACAGGTAGAGGCCTTGCGGTGAGCTGATCACTCGCCCAAGGAGACCTACAGTATGTGTAAGATCTAGTAAACTGAAGTGAAACGGAGAGTTTCATGGAGGTAGGCCTAGGCCCAAATGAGGGCTGTAGTGCCAATGGGGGGAAAAAAAAAATCCAGGTTAGAGTGACTAATAACAATGGGTTCCGGACTTGATGACTGGATTTATTGAACACTCAAATTGTAACTAATAATTACAACACTCCAAAAGATTACTGTAACCATAAGAAACAACATAATCTTCAACGTCTGCTTACAAGTTGTGCTTGGTAATGAATCTTATCTGGTTAACACTTTACAGCTGGATACTCAACTAACACTTTAAACTTTTGGGTTCCATAAAATGCCTGCTGTATGAATTCTCTTATGAATCAATCTCTGACTGAACTGAATTCAAGAATGAACTTCCTTTTCTAACTGCCACACAGCCCAAATAGAAGTCTCCATGTTGAAGGGTTAATTCCTCCTGTTGTCCTTTTGGTTGTCATGGGAATCTTGTGTTTAGCAACTTGCTACCTGGCAATGGACTCATTCGCTGCTATTCATTGCAACAGAAACTACTTTCTTAACATTCGTTGCTGTGGAAACATGATTGCTCAGCAATGGACGTCTGCTCAAGCTCCACCATTCCAGCTTTCAGCAGCCATGTCACAATATTCATTAAATGTGCTACTCATGCTGAGTTGTATTTCTAATGTGGATCCATATTAAGGGTCAATAATATATTTTTCGTTATGATTCTTGTGTTTCATTACATTTGAATATTAGTCTTAAAATGTAAAATGTTATAACTCAGTTGGAAGTTAAAAGTCAAAATTAAATTACAAACTTATAATTTGCGCATAAGGTATAAGTCTATGATGTTGAATCATAGAGGGGGTTTCTGGGAGTCCTCATTTTTTTAATTATTTTGTGCACATATTATGTGGCAGTTTTCTGCATCTAAATGGTGTATGTGGTATTTCCTTTTGTGGTGTCATGTGTGGCGGTGGTAAATTTATTGCCTGTGTTGCATTGTGTCCTGCATAGGCTATTAGATAGTGGTTGTTCCCCTTACAGGACACAACATACACAATAACTTTACCACTGTCACTCAAGGCATCACAGAAGAAAATAGAACATATACCACTTACATGAGCTGGGATAGCGCAGTCGGCATGGCACCTGGCTACAGGCTGGACAACAGTGGGGTTTGATTTCAAGTCCCTGTAGGGTCAAAATTTTCTCTTTTCCACATTGCCCAGACTGGCTCTGGGGCCCACCCAGCCTCCTATCCAATGGTACTGGGGGTAAAGCGGCCAGGGCATGAAGCTGACCGCTCACCTCCAACTAGTGCTCAGGTTAGGAAAACGTGATCTATACATTCCCTCCTCCATATTTCTTCATGGCACAATGCTTAATTAGTTAAGCATAGGGACAACTTTACCTTTTACCTTTTCTTTACACAAGGAAAACTGTCATACAATATGTGCACAGGGTAATTAAAAACAATTCAGACTCCCAGAAAACCCCTCTACTCTATGATACAACACCATAGGCTGGTACTTCACACTCAAATTAAATTTCTTTAATTTCTAACTGAGGCATAATGTTTCAGGAGGATGAGGTCAGGTCATGTAGCACAAATGGGGGAGACAAGGAATGCGTATAGGATACTGGTGGGAAAGCCGGAAGGAAAAAGACCACAGGGACGACCAAGGCGTAGGTGGGTGGACAATATTAGAGAGAGAGAGGATGAGATGGTATGGATTGGACAGATCTAGTTCAGGATAGGGACCAGTGGAGGGCTCTTGTGAACACAGTAATGAACTTTTGGGTTCCATAAAATGCGGGGAAATTCTTCAGTAGCTGCAGAATTGGCAGCTCCTCAAGAAGGGCTCAGCTCCGTAAGTAAGTAAGTCATAATGTTTCACATTTTAGGTCTAATATTCAAATGTAATGAAACACAAGATTCATAACAAAATTTATGTTAATGATCATTAATATGGATCCACATTAGAAATTTAATTCGGGTAGTACATTTCATGAATACTGCCTGATGATGATCCAGCTGGATCAAAACATGTAGCAGATGTACATAATAAAAAAAAAAACACACAAAAAACTTCATGGCCTGTCTGCAAGTGAACTATACTGACTGAGCGACCGCCACTTGTCGGCAAAGTTAGTGCCAACTTTAGTGGATAGAGGGTGTCGCATGGTCAGTGTAAGGGATCCCACGGCCGTTAATTTCGGTTTTCTAGACTGGACATGCTTTTCCCTTGAAATAGCTCCTCAGTTACCTCAAAGAGGCTCAGTGGACCCCGTTCCAGACTCACTACTTCTCAGAAAATCTGGTAGCACTGGAAATCGAACCGGGGATCTCTGCATCTGTAGCCAGGAACTCTGACCACTAGACCACAGAGCACTCCTGCTTGTATTTATCATCGAAGTATCAACTTGCGATGATGTTCCTCACTGAAGTGGCACAGCTAGCTGGTCAACAAATCCTAAATTTAAATTTTCCTCTTGACTATCAGAAAGACCCTACACCGCAAATCAAATTTTAATTTATTGGTAGTTGATTAAACAATGCTTTTAGTAAATCAAACATATGTAGTGGCCTCCGTAGTCTAGGGGTAATGTTCCCACCTCATAACTCAAGGTACAAGGGTTCAAACCCGGCGGAGATTGTGGGATTTTTAAGGGTGGAAAAATTCAGGGAACAAGTCCTCCAGGAGGGATTTTAAGCTGTGTGTCCCGTGTCGCAGATTTACGGCATGTAAAAGATCCTCATGTCTCTAGGAGACAAGTAGTTTCCAATTCCTCCGGTAGATGGGGAAGTATCAGGGACCACTGCCAGAGAGGGCCAACCTCGGGGCTGATAGCGAGCACCAGTAGTGGAAGGGCATGGCGAGTAGTTAGAATAATTAAAGGGGGACGCACAACAGATCAACAACTGGTCGCAGTGCAGGGGGAAACCCACCCCCTCCAAATAATAATAATAACAATAACTCAAACATATTCCTTTAGGAACGAATTATTGGATGATAAAGTACATAATAAACAATATTAATACAGTAATAATGATTTATATACTACGAATATGTTATGTTGATGATTGTATAAGAATACTATATAGTAACACACAACAGGATGCAAACGATAGTTCTTGCTACAAATGCTGCCAAATTCAGCTCATAACTCCATAGAAGTGGCCCTGTTTTTATTATATACTGATTCTGGCAAAAATTGTAGGTTTATGTTATCATTCATACCTGTATGCAAAATGGATTATTGATGTTTGGATTTTCATTCAAACAGAATGTACTAATCCCACGAAGCTTGGGTCCTCCGCCAATTATTTCCAAGTCATGCATATTAAGGATTAGTAGACTTGAATCACACAGAATTAGCAATCGGTTCAAAGCTGAGGCGGCTTTGATGCATTTAACTGGTTTCTTCTGAAAATAAATGCAAACAGTAAGGTAAATGGCTAGCGACTTCAAAAAATTCAGTGGTGGAAGGAAACAGTGTGCAACTTAGTATCAGCAATTTTATTGCTGTTCTCCATGAAGAAAGAAAGAAATGGGAGTATAGAAAGGCAGTAGTACATCAGATAACATCACCTGAGGAAAGCCTATGACTCAATATGAATAAAAGTACTGTAAATCATTTGCATTGAGTCTGAGGTACGAAATGTTGGCCACAGTACAAGGGTGTTCATGCACACACCCCTTTCTATTCTGTTCTATTCTATACTCATGACACTACAGTTAGACTAAACAACTGTGTGTTTAGTTAAGTCCATATAGGTAAATTACTTGCTGATGTATTTCCTATTCAGAATGGTGTGAAACAAGGAGATAGCTTTATGGCCAATTCTTTTCAACCCTGCTTTTGAATGAACAGTTTTAAAGGTCTGAAAAACCAGAAGAGAATAGAACTGAATGGGACACATCGGCTTCTGGTCTATGTTTTTGATGTTAATTTACTGGTCAAAACATAAATATCATAAAAAAGAACACAGAAACCCTATTTGTTGCTAGTAAGGTGGCTAGTATAAAAGCAAATGCAGAAAAAAGGAAGTATATTTTCATGTCTTGTCAACAGAATGCAGGGCAAACTCACAATAAAAATAGTTAATAAATCCTGTGAAAACACAGCAATATTTGGGAAAAACAGTAACAAACAAAAATTGTATTCACACAGAAAGTAAGAGCAGGATAAAATTCAGAGAATGCACATTACCATGCAGTTAATATTCTTGTGTGTTCTCATCCTCTATCCAAAAACACAAAGATTAAAACATAGAAACAAAAATATTACCTGTAGTTTTGTATGGGTGTGAAACTTGATCCCTCACATTAAGAAAAGAACACAGATTTAAAATGTTTGGCTAGAGGGTGTTGCAAAAAATACTTGGAACTAAGAGGGAGGAAGTAACAGAAGGCTAGAGAAAAATGTGTAATTAAAAGTTTGTAATTCTTATGTTTCCAAATATAGTTAGGGTTGTCAAATCACAGAAGATGGGTGGGGTATCGGGGAGATGAGAAACTGATATATAATTTTGGTCAGAATATCTTAAGAGAAGACCTAGGCACATGTGGAAGCATACAGATCTCTAAGAAATGAGCCAGGGAAGTTTTGGCTGACTAAGGATAGAGACCAGAGATGGACTCTTGTGAACACAATAATTAATCACTGCATTCCATAACAAGTCATATGTAATTTGACTTGTTGAGTGACTTTCAGTTTGTGAACAGGACTCTGATTCTTGGAGTTAGTTAGTCCTCCAACAAGATAGTACTTGAAATGTGAAAAGCACTAGGTATGTATTTTTCTTTAATTAGCAATTGTTAAGGTAAAACAGCTAGTGTGACACTACAGTCTCTTGGTATGAACATCTACATTTCCAGCCATCACTATCAAAGAAACTAAATCAACAATGAACATGACCATTTGAAATATAAGAAGTGTTTGTGTCTAAACATCTGGGGGGGAAAACATTATAAACACAAAATATTTACAATAAGCCAATGCAGCAAGTTGAGTGTACATACATACCAAGTCTAGAAACTTGTGACGCACTTTCCTGCTCTTGTAAACCACCTTCCCAATTCCCTCCTTCTTCTCTTCCAAAGCGTACAATATTAGAGAACTGCAACAATGCAAATATTTCTACTTTCTTCTCTGTTCTGAAAACCATCTGTACAGATTCAACAACTTTTCAACAAACACTGCTCAGTTTAACTGGAAAATATTAAAAGCCTGAGAAGTAAATAATTGTGACCTATTTTCAAATATTATCCTGGAATTTGCTGGAAAGACTGAGAAAAGACATGGAAACCCCAATCAGAATATGTACTACCCAGATGAAACTCCAAATCAGTATCTCCCTAATACATATCAGACATGATTCTGCTCAGCTAACCAGTCTGTTCTTGCCAGTTGCTAAACGCTGCCACCTAATAAGGAATTTCATAAAACAATTTACCAAAATAAGTTATTTAATTTTTCAGCAATACCCTGCTAATAAATGTACACCCACCAGTTTATCTGGGCCATTTAAAATTAATCTCATAACTTGGTCTCTTGCAGACTTCTGATATGGGCCACATTGAAGCGTGAGGCCTACTCACTTTGTTGCCAAATGCAATCTTTCTCCTGCCGTCTTCTTTAATCATATGTCTGTCTACTTTAATGAGGAAGTGCTCTTAATTAATGAACTTGTAGCCTGCCTTAATTGACCAACTGACACAACCCAGAAGACAACAGATTTGATACTACTGAACGCTGTGGTAAAGCAGATAACACCCCTGCTTCACAGTTTGGAGGTCCTGGGTTCAAATATTAGTCCAGAAATTCCACAGATGTCTGACAGCATTACTAAACATGCCATAAATCTGTGGGAGCCCCTCACAGTTAAGCAAGTGCTACCCAATCAGCACTTGCAACAGAAGCTCCAACACCCATTGGTTCTTGTGCTGCCTAGTGACAAAAGAATAAAGAAGCAGACATCCGACATGATAGCATCAGTCACATCATTCACAACTACATTTGCATCAAGAGAACATTGCAACAGAGAGCCTACTAGTAACAGCATCATAGCTGACTTTGCCAGCGATCACCAGCGTTCATCATGTCAGCCAGCCATGGTAGGAGCTTTGCCGGCCAGCCAGCCGCTACTAGCACTGGCTAACCCGCCGGGCTTCGCCTGGCATCCTGCCACCTCGCAATCACCAGGCTGCTGCAAGGAAGAATGCTGTCACTAACACTGGCTAGCCCGCTGCGACAAGAGTTTCACTTGGCATCCAGCAGGCGCACCTGGCTTCCGACAAATAGCCATTTTCATGTACATCACTGCTGTCACTAGCTCAGGAAAGCCCGTTACAAAGGGAGTTTTTGCCAGTATTCATCAGGCATGCTTTGCTTCCCTGCTCGCCTGTAATATTCATTCTAACAGCAATAAACATTTGTTACAGTTTTATGTGGTTCTCTCTTCAAATATCGACATCCCACAAATCAATAAAATAAATTATGGAGATATTTACTTATAGTAAGTCCAAGTATCTGAAATCAAAATATTACTATAGATACAGTACAGCCATAGCTTAAGCAGTTAGTCGCTGGCTTCCCACTGCTGCTGTCTAGTCAAGTGGGATTTGTGATGGACAAAGTGGTGCTGGGGCAGGTTTTCCCTGAGTACTTCGGTTTCCCCTGCGAATCCTCATTCCATCAAATTCTCCATAAGCATTATCACCAGTACAGATACAATAGGACGTATGGAAGCCGACATGCCGAGGGGACCTAATATGGATTCCACCTCACACTATATGAAATCTTAACTATTGTAATCTACTGTAATCTACTGTAAAGAATTTTCAAGTATTGTAATCAGCCAATATACAGTACCTGACTTGTCCTATATCACGTAACAATGATCTATAGAGATGAAATAAATAAATTATGGATCCTAAAATTTAGGAGGGTTCCTTGTTCTAAAAAATCTGATGAAACCTGGTCAGTCATGTTTCACCTCTGTGCTAATACGAGGCAATCCTAATAAATCTGTTGAGTGGGTATAGCACAAATTGTCTAATAGTACACTCATTTCAACTTCAACTGTGTGGTAAAATCAACTGTTTCCTTCCAAAATTTAGATTGCCAAATTATATTTGTCACAAGATGAAATTTTTTATCACTGGTTACAGAAAACATCCTGTTTTGTTCCAAACAGCTTTAAATATACAAAGGGACATTTTTAAATAACAGCAATTATATTAAAAATATGTGACTGTAATAACATACTGACTGAAAACTTTTCATACCTATCGTTTGTTCCAACATACAGCTCTTTGCCACAGCATTCTATACATTCAATCTGGAAGGTAACACACAGATATTAGATGTTTAGCAGTAATATGAAATTATGCGGTAGCGTAGTGGTTAAGTTGGAAGGTCGCGGGTTCAAATACCAATGAGGTCACTGGATTTTTTCAATTGACCTAATCCTTCCGGTTGCACTATGGCCCTGCGGTTCACTCAGCCTCTAACAGAAATGAGTACCAGGAATTAAATAATTTTCCTGGGGAGTAAAGCGCAGCCAGCATGTAAGGCTGACAACCTTACCGCCGATTGTCTATATCAGGGGTCTCCAAACTTTTCGAATCGCGGGCCACATTAGGTAATTCAGCACTTTCAACGGGCCGGATAAAATGAGAAATTAATAACTCTAGGTATATGAGTTTTATTGAAAGCACAGAATTTCATAAACTAAATACAAAGTACGTAAGAATAAATTATCGTATATTAATTACAACAGACAGTAGCAGCAAATGCTCACATTTTCATCACAAATTATAATAAAACAATTAATGAGAATGATGGAACTCTTTTTGCATTCTTAAAATCTGATTAAATTGAGGTTCAAAATTTGAAATGCTAATCAGAAGTAGTGACTTTAAATGTTCATCGGATAAATTTGCTCTGTATTTCGACTTGATGTACTTCATCTGGGAACAAGTTTGTTCACAAAGATATGTCATCCAAAAAATGGAGATAAATTTACAAGCAAATTTCTTGAAATTTGGAAATTGTTCAGAGTTCAGAAATTTATAAAATTTGATCAAATTTCCTTCCTTGTATTAGTCTTTAATATGATAATTTTCCTGAAGTTCAATTATTTCCATTTTAATTTGACATCTGCAGCATCACAGTCAAACGGATTTTGAAACAATCTAATTTCCTGAGCACTGGAATCCAAATCGGCAAATTGCTTCCGAAATAGTTCTTTCAAATCTAAAATGACTAAATTTGCAAACGAGGAAGGAAATTCTGCTTCACCCTTTTTATGCAACTCTGCACAGTACAGCATATGAACAAAGTTACAATTTTTCACTTGGCTTTCCAGAAGTATCAACTTTGCTCTGAATGCCTTGATAAGTGCAAATAAATTACAGACTAAGTTATATTCACCCTGAAACTTGAAATACAAATGGTTCATATGGTTCACCAGATCAGCAAACTGCTAATTTCCAAAGCCACTTGGTATCTGATAAAAGTGGTTCGTGATGGTTTTTCTCGGGTAAGAAATATATCAATTTCATTCCTGAGCTGAAAGAAGCGCGAAAGAACCTTTCCACAGCTAAGCCATCGAACTGCAGTATAATATGTCAGGTCAATAAGCTCGGAATCACATTTACCAGTACTCACTGGAAAATTAGTTCAATTGGCGCATTTCTGCACAATTCTTTCGCGGGCCGGATGTGGCCCGCGGGCCGTAGTTTGGAGACCCTTGGTCTAGATAATGTGGGACCCTCAACGTCTCACAACCCTATGGGCCTTCATGGCCCGTTACAGGGATAGCTTTACTTTTACTTTACTTTATGCCATTAATTAAATAATCACGATACACATAAAACTCGTATTTGATATTCCACATATATACAGCTCGTAACTGTGTAATTATCTGTACACAAACTAGTATTAAGGCACTGATATCAAAGAATATTTTCAGTAGCATGAATACTAGTTACCTGTTTGGACCAGCCACTCCTGCAACATTTGTGATATGGATCAGCAGACTTGCTAATAAGCACGAAAATACTTGATATAAATCTATTTCAAGTATGGAGCAATTATACATTTTTATTAAATGACTTATGTTACTATACAGGGAATCCAATTTTTCCTTAGACTAGCCAGCTACAAATTTGTCTGAACACACGTGTCCACTGCCAGCCGCTGAACTGTTGTTTTCTGGCTTATCATGATATTGCCTATGTTCAGCATGTTTAGTTGTCCTTCAGATATGTATAAATACAATTTGCAGTGTTGTGAAATATATTTTTAAAGAATGAATATAGTGTTGAAAAGATACACATATCATACATTTATACAGCATCATTTATAGTGGGAATGCTGTAGAAAGTTTTTCAGGACATACCCCAGTAGAACAGTGATGTGTAAGGCAACTATTTAAAATGCTGTAACAAAATTGCATTCTACAACATCAAGGATGGACAGAAGGAAATCCTGAAAAAGATTGTACTGTCTGAATATAAACTTGATGACACTGGAACCTACTGAAAAGCAAGCCTGAAGAAGCCATTACATCTTTCAGTTCTTCAGTGTGGGGTGAAAAAAGTACAGCTCATGCTGGTACAAAGTTGCTAAAGTTATGCCTTACAAAATCTATAGTTGTATGTTGCCTTCTGTCTTCAGATTGCAATGCATGAACTTGACACTATAAGTGGTTTCACAAATCGGGTTTCAATGGACTTCTTGACCTAGAAATTATGGTTTATAACAGTGAGACATAGCTCACTTTAAGTTGTTACATAAGAATCGAAAACAACAGATACTGGATATGTAAGTTTTGAGGTACTGGTACAGATACTGGAGTACAGAAAATCCTCATGCTCTTCATGAAGTGCCATTGCATGATTTAAAAGTTGGAGTTTCATGTGCAATTAGTCTGCAGAAGACAACTGCCCCTGTACTGTTTATCAAGCAAATCCTAAATGTTATGTAAAACTGACTGTCACCCTTCTTTAATCATTTGACCAATGAAAAATCATACAGATATTTTATACAAGAAAATGCATGAGCAAACACTCTTACACATTTCTATGGATGTATTAGATGAAGTCTTCTGCAAACGAGACATAAATCAAGAATTGTGGCATCTGTGATCACTTAGTTTAAATCCTTACAACTTATCGCTGGTGCATGAACAAAGAAAAAGTGTATATGAATAGCCTGCATGCTTTGGAAGAACTTCAAGAAAATATTAGGCATTAAATCTCCACTATTCCCCTATAACAGCTTTGCTATGTGTTTAGAAACAGGTTCTTAGGATGAGGGGCATGCTTAGAAATAGGAGGTTATCACTTCAAGACTCTTCTATAAAATAAGTTGAGTTAAACTACAGCAGAAGAGAGGGCTGTAAATTATCAGCTAAAACAATGGGCCTATGCAAGAAGTGTGCCATTTCAGGTGTGGGATACAGTCCAATTATCAACTGCCCATCCAGCATAACAAGGGCTGGGATTGCAATGTCAGTATAGTGACTGGTTATGAGCTGGATGTCTGAGGGGTTGCAGTTCAAAGTCCTGGTAGGGGAAAGATTTTTCTCCTCTCCGCATTGTCCACAGTGGTTCCAGGGCCCACCCAGCATCCTATCCAATGGTTACCAGGGGCTCTTTCCCCAAGAATAAAGCAGCCGACGCATAAAGTTGACCACATAAACCCAACTAGTGCCGAGGTCAAAAATATGTGGATCTATATGTCCATTCCCCCATACATCTTTATGTTGTATCCTCTCATAATGAAATTGCAGCTTATTTCCCATCAGAATATATATTTTAATTACTGGGGAGAAATGTTCCTTGGCCACCAAAATAAAAACTTACTCTACAGATGTTACAAAGCAAACAACTCTGTTACTATTTCAGTAGGTCCGGTCCTCTTCCCGAAGTATGGCACCACCAAATACGAAGGCTAACAAATCTGCTGAACTGTTTACCAACATACACTTAGTAAAAATTAAGTACTATGCAATGAAGGTGTGTAGGGGAGAGGATGTAAAGATCCACAATTTCTTTACCTTGGCACTAGATGGAGGTGAGTTGTCAGCTTCATGTCCCTGCTGCTTTACCTCCGGGGAAAAGCCCCTGGTACTCATTGGATAAGAGGCTGGGTGGGCCCCAGACATGGAGAAGAGAAAATTCTATACCCTACCAGGACTTGAACTCCAACCCCTTGGTCATCCAGCCCATAGCCAGTTGCTATATCGACTATATTATCTTGGCTCTAACATGTATTTGTATAAACAAAAAATAAAACACCTTAATCATTGACTACAAAACTTAACGACATGATTTTTACATTTAATGAGATTGTAAGTGGGTAAAGCTTAAACTAAATACAGCATATAATTTATATGACACGATCTTACATTAAATTAGTTCAAGTAAACTGTTTCAAAAGTACAGGATGGTTGACAGTGTGCCACAAATTGTTCAGCCAGTCCAATTGAAGAAAGATAAGCTCCTTGTGTTACCTCTTCCACAGGTCCACAGGACAATCAGAAAGTTCACTGGCCAACAAATCACAACCAAAGCACACACAGCTTCCAGCATATGCTGGAAATAGTCCTGCTGTTACACATGCATTCCTTGAACCTCTTTCATGCATTTAAGTTCCTTTTTGAAATAGATTAAAATTGAAACTTGAAACCCCTATCTCCTTTGTATTCCATCGCATCTAAGGGATTTCTGAGGGGCTTTCATTTGGTTTTTCTTCAGTGAGCACCTAGTAATTTGGTTCTTTTTATTCAGTAATGACCCTGTCTGTGGGCCACGTGGTAGCATAGTTGGTTGAGGCACTACGCTACAAGAAGGAAGGTCACAGGTTCGAGTCCCAATGAGGTGGATATTTTCAAGTTACCTAATCCTTTCAGCCACACTATGGTCCTGGGGTTGACTCAGTCTGTAATAGAAATGAGTACCAGGAATCTTCCTGGGAGGTAAAGGGTGGCAGGAGAGTCTACAGAAAATGTGTGAGCCTCAACATTTCACAATCCTATGGGCCTTCACGGCCTGTTACAGGGATAGCTTTACCTTTAATGACCCTGTGTCTGTCTAAATTTATTTATGAGTGTATCAATAGTTTCCTTCCATCTGGAACTGTAACATCCAGAAATCTATTCTGGAATCCACTTACTTTTCATGTGGGTATTGTATAGGAACACTAGTTTCAATGTGTAACTTTCACGCTCCACTTGAACACTAAAAGTAATATGACTCACTGAAGGTTTAATACAGCTTGGGATTAAAGCTGACAAACATATAAGGCATATATATGCTTCATGGTGGCCATTCAAAGACTTAGTGGCGAGATATTGGATAGAAGTTGTAATGCGTGCAGGCTACTGGCCTGTCAACTCTCATACGAGTCCAAATACGCATAGTTTAAGTTGACAAAGTACTGTGTGTCCCCCCTTGGATGGGCTTCATGATTTGTAACAGACTCTAGCTAATTTGTCTGTGTCTGTTAACACCTTTCTGCCAAATAATTCGCAGCAGTGTTCTGACCCTTTATTGTTACCTCAATTTGTGCTTTTCCCCAGTTGGCTGAAGTGTTTCTAATACTCATTAAAATTCAAATGCCTTTATATTCAATGTAAATGATTAACTTCTACAAACAATTCAATTGCAATATAACCTTACCACAGCACACTTCAATCATTCATTAAAACATTTAAGCCATAACTGTTATATTTAACGGCATTTGATGTCATCAAAGCTTCAACTGTAACGTCGACACAGAATCAGTACAAAACTATCTTATAAAATTAGTTCAAATAATACATTTATAAATATTTCTAACCCCATCTCTGATAACTGACAGCAATATTCAGATTCATTATTACCTTAGTTTGTGCATTTTCCCCCAGTTGCTGAAGTGCTTCTATAACTGATACAAATTCGAAAGCCTTAACACTCATTGTGACACGACTTATTTTTGACAAATACTAAAACTACAGTATAACCTATACCGTAACCGTGGCGTGTCCACGGCTACGAAAACAAATATTTCTTACATTAGAAACCTGACATGTTTATTAAATTTTAATACGAATGGTCCGTAATCTGTTACCATATCAGTACTTTCACAAATAATACTGCGCGATTAAAGGTAAATGTACAAAATCACAGCATAAAATACACTCCTAACCCTCCTAACTTCTCATTTCATATTTCACAAAACAGCTATGACACGTATGCGACTTAAGCAACTGCTGCACGCAGTNACTACTACTACTACTACTACTACTACTACTAATAATAATAATAATAATAATAATAATAATAATAAAATTTTTCGAAAATATTTAACAGTACTCAGACGTTCAAAAATGTCTCTTGTCTTACAATTTGAATTAATATTAAAAATCGGCTCAATTATGTGTGGTTACGGAGGGCGCCAGAAAAATATATCACGGGCGCCGCGTTGGACAGGGCTGGCCTAGGCCATTGCTGATCGGTAATGATCGGTAACGACAGCAAAGATCGGCAAAGGCTGCTGCCTACATCCGAAGCAGCAGCATGCTGTATTGTTACGATCGATACATCTGGTTGTTCCATAATGAGTCGAAAATGTTTGCTCGTGACGAGGACATTAAGCTTGTGGAATACGTCTAACTCTTTGACAAGGGAGACGACGGAGACTGGAATAACCAATGGATCCAGTGGTACGGACTTCGGTATTTAAATTTTGCGCAAACATTATTGTCATATTCCTGGTACTCATTTCTGTTAGAGGCTGAGTAAACCCCAGGGCCTAGTGCGGCTGGAAGGATTAGGTCAACTGAAAAAAAATCCAATGACCTCATCGGGACTTGAACCCGCGACTTAATTAAATAATTTTCCTGGGAGTAAAGCGCGGTCGGCGCGTAGGGCTGACAAAGTTACCGCCATCTTTGAGCCGATTGTCTAGACAATGTGGGACCCTCAACGTCTCACAACCCTATGGGCCTTCACGGCCTGGTACGGGGATAGCTTTACTTTTATTATTGTCATATTCACCCGCACTTTGGAAGATCAAACAATTACAGGGATTTTGAAAATGTTGACATTCGTGTATCTTCTGATATTTTCAAATTCACTACAACTTCATGAAGTTCGTTTTTCGAGTTTACGAAATATTTCAGCATTTCAGACTATGAAGGTCTTCAGATTCATGTCACTTTTTACAAGGAGGGGTTTGGCCGTGCGATTGCTTTTGGAGTCCTTTGGTGCGTAGCTGCTAGGAGTGTGGCTGTTGCCTGTGCGTTCCATATGGAGCCGCGAAATAAGAACAGCTTCGACTGACTTATTAGCACGATGTAGTCTGCATCTTTATCGGCTGTTGCCAGCGGAGAGCCCACCCCAATGGCAGCTGGCGCTGCCGTGGTCCCCACTGATTAGCTGGTTAGCTAGAATTTGCATCGTTCTGCTGGTCGACCAGAAGATTGTACTTGGCCTGGAGATGTGTTGTGGCAGACTCCCACATCACCACACTACCGCGGAGATGGCTGTTCAGATGTTGAAACGAACGCACAAACTGGCGTGGTGACTGGAGATTCTAGTTCGTGCAGTGGGCAGTGATGTGGCAGTTAGTGCCATGGTCGGGGTCGTCAGGGTTGCGTCAACCGCGGGGTTGATGGGGGTGTTCCCGCAGTGAGTCCCATTGAACACGTGGGCCAGCTTGAACCTACTGGATGGGGTGGTGGCGGTCCTGCTGTCACGAAGAGTTTCAGCCATTTCAATGTTACCTCTCTTCATTACAGGCAGGACCTTGTTGGGACAGCTGTAGGGCGCTCAAAAGCCCAGCTGTCCTCTTTTGGGGAAGACTTGTATGCATTTCTGGAGGAAACTGTGCACGAATGTAGATGGGGAGGCATGGCATGTTGCTGGAACTGGTTTGAGGTGTGTACTGTGTTGGCAGAGCTGAGTGATGAGGTGTGCTAGTTCCACTGGGCCAGCTATCTGAGAGAGTAGAACGCCAGGGATTCTTAGGGACTTGCAATATCCGAGTTCAAGTACTAACACCTGCACTTCTGCTTTGAGTGCCCTGTGGATTCCGTGGAGAATCAGTGGCCAGTTATGTGATGGTTTACAAGGCAATGAGTCATGTGATACTACTTTGCATGTGCAAGCTCTCCCCCCTCCTATATTAGTTGCCTAAAATACAAGAAAGATACTTTTTGAATAGCCCTCATATATACAGAGATCTTTTATGTTTGAAAGATATTTTTATTCCTTATGTAATCCCGTATTGTATCTATACTTTTATTTTGATTAGGAAAACAAGCTTAAAAAATATTCATAAAAACATGTAAAAAAGGAGTTAAACTTAAAGTTTGTATCCTTATTTTTTAAAACAGGTTCCCACGTTTCCTTTTCTAATAGATGTTGAAATTGAGGAATGGTTTCATTTCTTATTTTTCTCATTCTCTGTTTCAAGGGTATTACATTTACTTTTGTCTTTTGGTCTCCTGTCCAAGAACATAAAAATTAGAATATACAAAACTATAATTTTGCCTGTGATCCTGTATGGGTGTGAAACTTGGTCTCTGACATTAAGGGAGGAACATAGACTGAGGGTGTTTGAGAACAGGGTGTTGAGGAGAATATTTGGACCAAAGAGAGATGAAGTGACAGGAGGTTGGAGAAAACTGCATAATGAGGAGCTTCAAAATTTGTACTATTCTCCAAGTATAATTAGAATGAGCAAGTAGAGGAGGATGAGGTGGACGGGGCATGTAGCACGAATGGGGAAGATGAGGAATGCATATAGGATATTGGTGGGAAAGCCAGAAGGAATGAGATCACTGTTAAGACCAAGGCATAGGTGGGTGGACAATATTAAAATGGATCTTAGAGAGATAGGATGGGATGGTGTGGATTGGATTGATCTGGCTCAGGATAGGGACCAGGGGAGGGTTCTTGTGAAGACGGTAATGAACCTTTGGGTTCCATAAAATGCTGGGAAATTCTTGAGTAGTTGCAGAATTGGCAGCTCCTCCAGAAGGGCTCAGCTCCATAAGTAAGTAAGTATTAATATTATTTATATTAATTTGTTCAGCACTGTGGTCTGAGAGACTGTTCACTATAGGTGTTGTACAAGAAGAGCTTAAACTTTTATTATCTATAAAAATATTATCAATGGCTATACTCAAGGAATTCTGAACTCTTGTTCCCAATTTCACAGAGTGACAAATTGTATGTCTTTAGTAAAGAGTTTGCTTGTTTTTTCTGGTTATTTTCATTTAAATAGTTTTTATGTCTCTGCAGATTATAAACGCCGATTCTGGATTGTACAGGTGTTTAAAGTTGCATCTAATCTCCTTAGAAATTCATTAACATCTCCTGAAGCAGCTCTATACAAGCATAACATAATTAGGTGCGATGTTTTAGTTACTAATTGAATTGCACAGATTTCAAAGTCTTGCGCCTTACATTATGGAGAAATATCAATGTTACTGAAATGTTGGTTTGTCCTAACAATAACACACACAACTCCCCTCTATACACCTTTTCAGCAGAAGCTAGTGCCTAATAGGTAACCATTCACTGTGAGGTGCAGCAGCTCCTGTTTAACCACGTGATGTTTACTTAAACATCATATGTGAGGGTTTATGTTGTCTATTTCAAAAGTGTATTTCATTCATTACTTTTGATTCTCAATTCTCTAATATTCTGATGAAAGATATTTATTGAGCTGAATGATTCTGCATTTTGTTTGTGACTGCAGGACTGCATTTACTATATTTTAAGCACATCTGTGCTTTAGAATATAAGAGAAAAATATTGAAAGAAGAGATCGGAAGTAAATGTCGACTGTGTAAAGAATACGAAGAAACTATAGACCATTTAACATCAGGATGTCCCGTTTTGGCAAAGAACGAATATATAGTAAGGCATGATAAAGTTTGCATGCATTTACATTACTCAATATGTAAATAATTTGGAATTGAAGTACCAGACAACTGGTACTCACATGTGCCTAAGTCAGTATGTGAACATGAGGATATAACCGTGTTATGGAACCAAGGTGTACAAACAGACAGAGAGGTTCTGGCAAACAGGCCAGACATAATAATTAAAAACAAGCAAAAGAAAACTTGCATACTTATAGATGTATCAGTACCATCGGACAGGAATGTAGTACAAAAAGAAGCAGAGAAGAATTTAAATTTAAAAATTTAAGCATCGAAATTCAGCGAATGTGGAACATGAAATGTTTTGTGAAACTAGTAATTATTGGAGCCACGGGTACAGTCACGAGAGGGTTGAGAAAATATTTGGAACTAATTCCTGGTAAGCACTCCATAGATTCACTGCAAAAAAACAGCTATCCTGGGAACATCACACATACTACGGAAAGTGCTACAGTGCGAAGCTTGAAGCCTGAGTGGTGAGGTGCATCACTGGTTCAAGAAAAGGAATACCAGGAAATAAACCTGTGACAAGAGATGATGATGATGATGATGATAATAATAATAATAATAATAATAATATCTTGCTTGGTAAGGCTCTTACCAAGCTCCCCTGTGTCCTCAACAACCTTTGCAAGAGGAGCATTTGGTTTGAAAATACTATGTATGTCAAATTTAGTTCCCAGGTTTTCTTGAAGCATTGGGCCAATTTACCTACCATGACTGCTTCCTAGTAATAAGATCTTTCTTTTATTTTTATTTTCTCGTGTCATTAAGATGAGTTTCTGCCAAGTTACAGCCATACTTTAAACATACTATTCATAATTAAAAATTAACAGTATCCTTCAGGGACTTCCAGCATGACCATAATAAAAATGTGGAAAACAAAGGAATGTGCAAAGTTAGAAGCTGTAAAATCAATGCTCATAAAGTCCAACTTACCACCCAATTAATCAATTAACAAGAGTCAGGCAATCATCACAGGCCTACAATTAAAGTGAGACACATGTATTACTGCAGTATCTGTTCATGTCTAACATTCTCGTCATTTTAATAATGAATTTAATAATAAATGAAAGGAACTAGAACACATCATTTTGTAAAATAATTTTATTTCACACACTAGAGTGATATTTGCATTATGTAAAATAACTATTAAAATTTGTCAGTTAAATTATGTATTTGAATCTGAATGTTTCAAGGCAACAACATGGTTTTCATATTGGTCCCACAATATAATTTTATCATATGTACTGTACATGAAATATTACCTTAATGAAACTAACTTAGATACATTTTTTGGGAAATAGGAAGAAGGATTGAAAGTCTTTGTCCCTGGTTGATGTCTTGCTTGTGCCATTTCAGGAGATACATTTTGTGAGTCTTCCAAGACACGATTTTGGCGAGCTGTAGCATCAGATAACACTGCTGCTGTTTCCAGGTCTCTAGGAGCTCGTGTTCTCTCTGTACTGCAATATAAAGAGTTCACATTTTCAGAGATCTTTTAAAGTAAGTTGCTTGTAAAAATCAACCGGACGCTCATGTAAGAACTACTATTTTCTTTTCATGTTGAGTTGCGCATTGTTGTAATCCATAGTGTTGTTTATTATCAAAACAGAGTCAACTACAATTCAAGTTCTTGAAATCAGTTTGAATTCACCCAAAATGTTTTGACATTTACTGTGTCATCATCAGGGTACATACTCAGTAACACAGAAGCATCCAATATAATGCTATTTTTCATTATGTACAATAATGAAAAATGTTTTGTTAATCTTCAGTGTACAGGATAATTAATTGTACTTGCTCACAGCCGAATAAAAGTGTCATTTTTTTATTGCTAGTGGGGTGGGACTAAGTCCCTTGTACTGCGGCCACTTCTGGCCTATTGTACCATCCCCAGATGATAGGTGAGGGTGACTGTGGAGCAATTGGTGGAATGAAGATTAGCAGGGGAAACTGAAGTACTCGGAGGAAACCTGCCCCAGCGCCACTTTGTCCACCACAAATCCCACTTTACCATATCTGGGATAGAGCCCAGGCCGCCGCGGTGGGAAGCCAGCGACTAACCGCTTGAGCTATGGCAAAATGTCACAAGCTGCTCAGCATCAAAAAATAAATTGTATTTCATATGTTTTAACCTAGAGGTTTGAAATAAAAACCAGATAATAAAGAATTAATCCATTTACCTGTATACAAATTTTGAGATATTTGGTATATATACACAGATTTTCTATATTTTTTACAATTATTTTGGTTATTTTCATGTTTCTTCTGCATTTTTTTTTTTTTCAAAATATGGGGCCAATTAGTGCAAGAAACTTTTGAAAATGTGTCATCTTTAGCAACATGTTGAAACTAGTCCAACACAGTACTAGTTAATATTTGGTATTTGATGACTAGCAGTTCCTGAAGTTTAATTCTAAGAGAACTCTTGTTGATGCTCTGAGTGTTATAGTTCATATTGAACAACAATATAAATGACTGTGAACTGAAAGATTAAAATGTCCGAACCCATATTCTATCACAGCGGATATGTTTACTACATAGCCTTGATCTGCACCCAGCCTCAAGAAGTGGAATTTGTGTGAAATATAACATTGAGTGATTAGAATACAATTAACATTGTTTTCAGCTGTTGATGCAACAGGCAAAGAATAAAATGTCAAGTGACACTGTTCCCAATTTGTATTTGGGAGAAGCCAATTTGAATCTTCTGCGTGAGGTTTTTCATGGGTTTCCTCAGTCTATCAAGGTGGATGCTGGGATAATACTTCAAAATAGGGCACCAAAACTTCATTCTACAATTGTTTCAGTTTCAATGGTATGACTATACAATTTCCACCTCCTGAACTCTGCAATTCAGGATAGTTGGCCCTCCTCTTTTTAATGGTTCAAAAATACCATACAGAAATTTAGGAATTTCCTTGGTCAGAGATGTAATAGAAGGGGGGATGTCCCATGGCCTCAACACACAATGCAGACAACTCCACCCACCACTAACCCACTTGACTTGACATGTCACAGTGAACACTGGCCCCCAGAAGAAACACAAGTGCAGCATTACAGTATTAACAAATTATAACGCAAAAATATTCTTGTTTTCAGTTCAGTGCCTCTTATTTCAGAAAGCACTTTCACTGCAAGAAATGCAAGAAAGTACAATACATGAAAAAGCTTATTTCTTTCTCATAAAATAACTGAAATATACACCTACATACAGTAAAATACATATTAACAACTTACCTGGGGTATAATGCAGTTCCAGGACTTCTAGATCGTGGTACTTCTGATTCCACTAATGTTTGAAGCTGAAAGATAATGAAGAAATACTGGTGTATTGATGCACATGCAAGATGTCACTGCATAAGGCAGCACTAATGATTTTTGTCAAGTTCTGGTACTATTATTTATTTTTTAATATTTCTGTTCAATTTTCATCATCTTGCCAATGATCACTGTACTTTCAATCATGCATATTTCTCATTTGGTGTTCTTAAAGATTCACAAATTGTGGTGGCATTTATTTTGGACATTTGGATATTTACTGATATGTATAATTTGAACCATCTTTCCATTAGAAAAAGTTACAACACATACTGTACATAATTTCAATTTAAATACTGAAATGTATGTTTTTATTTGAAAGTCCTGAGTTTTTTTATTAGCCCTCATATGTTGTGAAATATCTGACTGCATAAACACACTGTATTTGTTGCGGCAGATCACTGTGTGGGCATAAAATATAAGATGACACATTATACGTATAACTTGCATTCATTTCGGTTCTATACATTTTGTATTTTAAGAATAAATCTATGCAGAAACGATACTATTTAACATTCTTTTGCTTTCATTAAAATATCTTATACATCAGAGCTGTCAGTTCCTACAACACTGCTTATGGCTGCTGTATGATTGTACAAACCAACAAAGCATGTTGAAAAAAACATTATTTTCACTCTTTCACAAATGAGAATAGACTGACCTCTATATGTCATGCCTTTATACTTAAGACTGAAATTCTGGAATAAAGAATATGTCTTATATGTGGATAAATACAACAGTATACCATTTACTTGTTTTCATGATATACATTTTCACCAGCTTTCATTCAGAAAAATTTGTCTAAAAATAAAATTTAAAGTCTTGTTAACTCAACTGTAATTACACCACAACCAAAGTGACCTACCAAGTTTCAAACATTTTAATTCAATTCAGTTATTTATTTGTGTGTTTACTCAACAGCCTTACGCCCAATTATAAAATAAGCACAACCACAGATGGGAACAAACAAACACACACAGAAAGCTAAAAGACAAACAATGTAACTGAAGTAATTTAGACAATAGTAAAAATTCAATAAATACAACTGCACAAGCCACTATGTGGCAAGAAAAAAATATGTACACATTCATGTTGAGTACAATTAGTATTTTAAAAAGAGGAAATAATCATTATAAAATATGATTAAGAAAAAGTTTTGATTCCAAATATGTAAATGTCCATAGAAACAATACTAACAGCTTTCTTCATTACATATAAGGGTCTTCATTATGTACATATAACATTAACTGGATTCTTCAGAACATGGTTTCCAAAATAACGGAAGGGTGAAAAATTTGTACAACTTTCTTCTTCAGTCTGATCTCCTACCAACATGGTAATTAAAATTCAGAATGTACCTTCAATATCCTATGTGGACCCAAAGTCACACCCACATGAGGAGTTGAAGTTGTTATACCAGAACCACTTGGAGGAAGCCTTGAAGATGACTGCACTTGAGAAGCTGCCTGCAGTTCACTGACACGTTTGTTCAGCCAATTAATTACTATTAACACAAAGTAGACTGTGAAATTGCAATGCCATTACTGCCAATGGGGATGCTGCAATAATAATGTAAAATGCAAGGATGTGCAAATACTAGACTGTATTTCAAAATTGTTAATACACTCACATCCAATGACACACAAATATAAATATGCTCTCCCAGTGCCATAGTAGGCTCTCAACATTAGAAACAGTCACTAAGCAAGTGTCATCCAATGACCATAAAATCAAAACAGATGGAATGCAGGTTTCGAGGATTTTCAACATTCGTTCAAAAGCTGCATTTCTCTTTTCAATTAAAAACATGATACTCTGCATATAGTAATATCCTGACCAGGCTCATGAATAGTAACATTTTATTTCCTGCAAACTGTATATTTAACTCACTTCCTTTGTTTTCTCCTCCCTCTCTTTCATGACAATTATAAATGTCTCTGAACTATAATTCCAAAACAAAAGCTGTCCTAGAATGAAATGTGCTGAGAAAGAGAACTCACATATGTACAAGAGTGACATAAGTGGAATGGGATCAGTTTAGAATATTCTGAACATCTTAGGCTGGCCTATTTACAATTGGAAGTTTGTCTACAGTTGTATCCAGCCATGAACAAAATTTCGGTGAAGTATCAATTTAATATACTGAATCAAAATAACTGAGTCTTTCACACTGTAACAACACAAAACAGATGGAACAGGATGTGCTATTACAGTATGAAAATGCATGTATACTGGAAGTCAAGATGAAACTACTGTGTTCAACTCACAATTTGTATTGTTGCTTATCATTGCTTCCTTCTCTGTAACCTTAGCAGTTTCAGCCTTAAGTGACTCCGAGAGTTGACGCTCTGCAGATTCCAACTGTTCAATCTTTTTACGTTGATCCTCTACCAGTGCAAGCAATGCAACTCTCTCCTTCTCTTTTGCGGACAACACACTTTCCTGCTCCATTATAATTCTGGTTCTAAGTCTCATCTGCATAAGAACACATACACAAATTACTAGGCGTGAATCATAATTTTATGTCAGCATCTGCTTCAATTAATTTGTAACTAAACTTTTAACATATTGTAGCATTAGAATTATTGCTAAGTAATGACTATGTAAACAACACCCACTTCTAGGCAACAGATTCCTAACAAGGAACAATTGAACAGCAACAGGGGAATGGTGTTTTCTGTGCAGCCACAAGCAACAACTGAACAGCAACAGAGGAACAGTGCTTATTATGCAGTCCATGCTAAGATGTTATTGGCAGGATAGGTCTAGAGTTCAGTTAGTTGAGTTGAAGTGAATTAGAAGAGAAGGAGTTTGGTGTGAGATGGCCACCAGCCTGGAAGTTAGTGCAGTGCAGGGAAGTGAAGAGTTGGTTGGTGAGTTAGTCAGAGAACTGCAGTTCAGCTGTTGTGAGCTGTTGCTGTTAGAAGCGGGCAGTTGCAACAGGGGGATAGTCTGGGAACCCAGAGTAAGGTGACTGTCCACTGCTGGACACCATTAACAGGCAATGACTGGTGAAGGTACTGCAGACTGAGAAGACTTAGTACATGCTGTAGGGAACTGCAGTGCGTGAATTAGAAATGGTGCTATAGTTACTTGTAGTTATGATCTGTAAGTGGTCAATAAATCCATTTACCAATCCAAATCTCATCTATAGTCACTCATACATGTAAAAATATTTTAAACTTACTGCACATTAAGAGTGCATATTAATACACATTACAATATGGGAAAACTGCTTTGGTTAGCTACTGAATGTACATGGGGTTCGTGATGTCAGACAGACTATGATACATATAGCTGAGCCATTAAACATAAGCCTAGTTCTTCTAGAATGTATTCCATCAGAATTAATCCAAGCAGGAAGTAAAACATTTCATTCTGTGAGCCACAAATGTATTACCAATATTTATATTTGGAGTAACAAAGAATTACCACGGCAATACAAGGAATTACAGCACCTATTCATAAAATGGGTAAAAGAAACTGTTTCTATGAAGATGAACTGCATATGTAGACAAAATTATTGGGGATTATCAATCAGTTCCTTCTCACATATTCTGTACCTCATTCAGAATAAGGGCCAGAGGTGGGCTCTTGTGAACGCATTAATGCAGCCTGTCTGAACATGTGTCAGTTATTATCCCTTTTTAAAAGGAGTTTTGTGTTCAGATAGTGGAATCCTAAGAAATAAATGTTGTCATCACAAAAACTTACAAACTGTGTGACTTCAGTGATCATACTTACAGTAGGAGAGTGGAAGGTGTTAATCATAAACCCTATGTGGTTGAAGGGTGAATGAGTATTTATTTATGTATAGGTTTTGGTCCATCAGACCCTCGAGGCAAAGAGTGGGGGCTGGTGCTTTGTCCAGATCAATAGGGACAGTGGACAGGAAACATTATCAAAAATGGCCCCTTATGTGCCACCAAGTGCACCAGAATACCGTAAGCAACTGGTACTTATCCCATGAAACCTGTGCCTCAGCAAGAAAGGAGATATTCACTTGTATCCCCCCCCTCCCAATCCAGCTGCCTACGGTGTGAATCTGGATCTTTTGTGCAAGCACTCAATATCAAATTTCATCAAGATATGCTGCATAGTTTTGGGAATGAAACCTGCAGCTGAATGGGTGGATATAAACTCATTATGCATTTATGTTATATTCCCAAATGATAAAGGTTAATATAATATTGTCATGTGTATGAGTGTTACTAAAGATGGGGTTGGATAGGTAATTGGATTTACTGAACTCTTAAAAATCTGACTACAAGTAATTATAACCGTTTCACCCATTCACATACTCAGCAGTTCACTACAGCATGTACAAGTCCTCTCAGTCTGCTGTGTCTTCATCAGTTATTGCCTGGCAATGGCTTTCGACTGAGGATGTTCCCCTTATTTCAGGTTCCCAACTTATCCCTGTCTCAGCTACCAGTGCCTAACAGCAACAACTCAACAAGGACTGAACTGCAGCAGTCCACTAACTAACTGACTGTTCAACAACAAACTTGCTTCACTCCACTGTACGCAACTGAACTGAACTCAGTCGACTGAATGATATAGCCTCAGGGCAGACCATACAGAAAACACTGTTTCCAACAGTACTTCCATTGTTGCGTGGGCCAGTGCCTATCAGTGGCTCCCAGCATTTTATGGAACCCAAAGGTTCATTACCGTGTTCACAAGAGCCCTCCACTGGTCCCTATCCTGAGCCAGATCAATCCAATCCATACCATCCCATCCTATCTCTCTAAGATCCATTTTAATATTGTCAACCCACCTATGGCTTGGTCTTCCCAGTGGTCTCTTTCCTTCTGGCTTTCCCACCAATATCCTATACGCATTCCTCGTCTCCCCCGATCGTTCTACATGCCCTTCCCACCTCATCCTCCTTGACTTGATCATTCTAATTATATTTGGAGAAGAGTACAAGTTATGAAGCCCCTCACTGTGCAGTTTTCTCCAACCTCCCTGTCACTTCATCTCTCTTCGGTCAAAATATTCTCAACACCCTCTTCTCACTATATGCTACAATATCTTTTATCAATGCAATCCAAATATATAAATTAATTCTCAAAATAAGAATCTGACAACTCTGTGTAATTTTAAACTAATCTGTAATAAATCAGAATTACAGTTAATGTCTTGATCATTCACAATACCTAAAATGTGCTCTTCATCTTTAACACACTGAGGACCGGTCGCATATCATGCTTTTGGCTTTAAAACGTGGCGGACTGATCGCATGATATCATGATTTTAGGACATGTTAGGTTGTAACACACTATACCTTTCTCTGGTGCCACCCAAATGAATGACTACTGCATAAGATTACTCTGGAATGTTTGCTTAGTAGGCAAACTTGACTTCACGGTTTTGGTTCCCCTTCCAAAGGAAAATGATCTTTGACCCTTCAAGCTCTTATGTACCAGGCACGAAGTTAGTGCAATATGAATCAAGGACAGAAGTGGTTGAAGACCAAGTGATATCTCAGAGAATGAGAAATATCTGACTTGTTCTCCGATGAGCTATCTGACGTTCCTTCTGAGAGGCGTAGTGAAAGTGACTCAGACATACGGCAGTGACAGGGGACAACAAACAATTGTGGCCACAGACAATAAAAGTGAAAGTAGCTCTGACGAAAGTGCACGTACTAACATTGAGGGGACAGCCACATGGGGAAAAGTAGACAAAACTCCTACTTTGGGACAGTTTACTGGAAATCCAGGGGTGAAACAAATTCCATTGGACCCAACGCAAGTGTCTGAAGTAGGAGAACTGTTTTTTGGAGATAGGGATACTCGTGTTGTGAATATGAGTTCCACAATCCACAATTCGAGCATGGTTGATGTTCAAAGGAGACATGGACAAGTAAAGAAGCCTATTTGTATTTCTGAGTAAATATGTTCATGAAGGGAGTTGACAGAGCCGATCAATACTTGGCCTATTATTCTCTTCCTAGGAAAACAATAAAGTGGACAAAGAAAGTTGCCTTGTGGGTTATAAATTGTGCCATTTTCAATTCATTTTTGGTTTACAAAAATCTAAACCGATTCGAAATTGAAATACAAAGCATTTCTGATGAATGTGGCAGAGGCCTGGGCTACAGACCAGATGGTGGTGGCAGAACGAGAGTCAGACACAGACTTAGTGCGACCAGGCCAATCAACTCCCACCCCATGCAGGCCTCATGTGGACCCCCTGGGTGACTGGGTGATATGCGGAAACATATCCTTGTGAAAACTGTGAAGAGTGAACATTCCATGGGGAAGCATCCTTCTAGGCAATGCCGTGTTTGTGCAATTCACAGAAAAAGGAGTATGACTGCCTACATTTGCAAGTTCTGTGTAATGCCACTTCACAAAGGGGAATGTTTCCATAAATATCACACTCTCAAGCACTTCTAGGAGCATTGGTAAGTGTTCTCCAAAAATTTTAGTTCACAAAATGAATTAGGAGATTTTATATTAATTTTTGAAGTGAACAGTGTACAAGTTAGGGTACTGGGTTTAAAAATGATGGTCCCCAGGTTTATTTAAATATTTAAATTGCTGGTCCTCAATGTGTTAATATTCAAGTTACGATTTACTTACAAATTTCTGAATTTGCTATTTAATTTTATATAAACGTTTATTTTCAAATTTTATTCCACACACACACCTTTGATTTCAATGTGGTGATATCCTTTTGCAGTGTTTTAATTATCTCATTGCCTTTCAAAAATTCTTCTGAAAGGTTCTGCAAAGAGGTCTGTCTTCTTACAAGGATGACATCTTTCTCTGCCAGGTTCTCTTCCAAAAGAGACTAAAAGGTAAAGAACAGGAGCCTTACATTCAACAATCTACAACTTTCTGTCTTAGTTTAACTTTTACACTCCATAACTCTGTATGAAATAATGATAAGAACCATCCAATACAAAATGTGGGCATTGCAAAATTGAAGAAAGCCCAGTTTTTTGAGACTTACTAGGTAGCACATTTTATCAACACACACAAGCACGCATGCACACACCAAGATCAGAAGTCACTGTAAAGTCTTTCCCAAATTAAAACTCCTATCAAAGGAAAATAATCATTTTGCACATAATCTATAATTTTAATAAAAACTATTGCCTGATTTCAGTTAAAAATAAAGTTTACCATTGCTGAAATATGCCCACTGAAACACCATGGGAAATATAACAAAATTCCAGGAGTCTTTCTGTTAATAACAGCTTGGGAATAACTGATGAGGTTGTTCAACAAAATTTTGTAGTCTGCCAGTACTCAAATCAACAGACATAACCTTTCAAGCTATCCATCAGGCATGCTTTACATACAAATCTTTACTCACCTTCTGCTCATTAGCCACTTGAAGTAACTCCTGCTGTTGTTTCAGAAGTGCATCTTTATCTTTGAGCTCCTGCAAATATAAGTTAATTAATGGAGTCACATGTTAAGTACACCTTATACTATCTTGCGACCAAACAGGTTGGTCTACCAGTAACACGTTATACTTGTATTTGAGAGGTGCTTGGGTCTGGCTTTTGGCCAAGACATAAGCTATCATGACAGGTTCTTCATGGTTCTCCTCAGTCCCTCCAAGCAAATGCCAGCAAATGCCATGACAACTTCCTCCTGTACTTTTTCTAACTCATCATTTTTTAAACATCCCCCAATTCAACTCAGCACAGTACAGCTACAGACAGCCTTATAAAATAACATACACACATAAGAAATATTTCCCCACACAAAATGCTTTAATATTAAAATAGACTGTTCTTTCTCACAAAAATTAATCCCAAAATGTTATATTAAACTGGATGTTTTAAATTCGGGTACCTCTGAATGCCAGCAACATACATTATACACTGAACTAACCATCTCAGTTTGATCTTTGTTGTACTAGACTCAATTTAATACAGACCACAGTCTATGTAAGTAGTTGGGGCAGCTCAGTCAACATAGTGACAGTCTATGGGCTGGATGGCCTGGGTTCGATTCCCAGCAGTGCAAGATTTTTCAATTCTCCACAGCATTCAGATTGAACCTAGGGCTCACCCAGCCTATCGAATGCGTGGGTACCAGAGCTCTTTCCCAGGGGGGGTAAAGTGAAGGGTGTTAAGCTGATCACTCACATCCATCTAGTGCTGAGGTCAAGAAAGGTAGAGCTATACCCTTACTCCCCCATATGTCTTAATGGCATAGTGTTTAACTAATTAAGCATGGGGACAACTTTACTTACAGTCTATGTGAACAGAGTCTACTGTGCTGTGAACAATTCTGTCACATATAGAATGATTCAGAATCCCATGGCCACACTTCAGGAGGTTGTTAAGAAGATAATTTGGAACAGAAAATGTAAACAAACAAAGGTTATGCATCAGTGTTAATATACATATCACAGGAAACCAAGATGTGTATGCCACCAGCACACACTGGACACAGCTGACACAATATGCAGAATGAGGAGGAAGTGTTAGATGCTACACATGCTAATCCATAAACCTACACGTGTCAAGTCATATATGAAATAAGACCTCTCTCAGAGTGCAGTTTTGGTGTATAGTGCCTGAGATGTATCCTTTCCATGTGCAACCTGTACAAGGGCCACAACCAGGGGACAATAAGTTATTAATATTGTAAGATGATGGCTGAAAGCTGGAATAGTTTAACAAATAGATGCAGCAACTGCTAGGCAATGACATGGTAAACACATTTCTGCAGCAACAAATAAACATGCAACAACAGAGGAATCTTGGAAGCTGTGTCTTCTATGAGATCTGTACTGAAGTTACAAAATATGGACACCTGCCAAGCTGACAGTCATCAGTCAGAAGTCAGTGCCACAGTGAGAGCAAGTGGTAGCCAGTGATGGCCAGGCATAGCTAGGAGTTGGAAGTTGGTGAGTGCAGTTCATGAACTGTAAATGAACAGTGGCAGTTTGTGGATTGGCTGTGAAGTACTTCCATGGTTACCAGAGCTCAGTGATGCCTGGTGAAGATGGTAACTGAGCAGTGACCAGTGAAGACGTAACAGACTTGAGACTCAGCAATTACAAACCGAAACCCCATTCTTAGTCACTAACATGTGATGTACAGGGTCAGATTTTGGTAATGTGTACTGGATTATACAGAATCAGGTCCAGTGGCAGGCTTCCGCATTACGGATATTAAAAGTACTAAAGTTGGTCTAGTTAGTAGATCTCATGTAGCACAAGATATATTTCCTACCTGTTCCAACACTGCATGTCTTGTTCTTAAACAATTCAAATTTTTCTCTTTCTCATGGTAGTTAGCATCTAACTTCGAATTTTGACTACGTAATACCGTTACTTCCCGCTGCAATGCAGCATTTTCTTTATATAGGGCATCCAGTTTGGTATCTTGTTCACTGCATTAGAAGAAAAACATTATTATTTGTAGCAGATTGGTAGTACATGTGCTGAATCCTTGGTGTCTGTCAGGCAGTCAGCAAAACTTACTTTGGGAATTATGATGTTCACACATTACTTACCGCAGTTTTGACTCTGACTCACAGCTTTGCTCAAACAAAGCTTTGTTCTCAGTCTGTAGTCCAGCAAGAAGTGTCTCAAAACTTCGCTTATTTTCTGCAAGCATGTCCTGAAACTGCATCTTTTCATTGTCAAAAGACTTCCTCAAGTCTTGCTGTGCCTGAGAATCAGTAAATAAACACAGACCTCTACTTAAATAAAACTTACACTGAACCTAGCAAAACATCACATCAGATATAAGACACACATAACCAAGATTTTGAAGGATACAGTGCATACCTCAGTGATGAACAGGTGAGTCTGGATTATGTGGACTGATGAGTGGCAGGGAAAATCTATTATTCTTGGAAAAAATTCATTTTACAGTGACACTCTGTCAGTCACAAATCACACATCACCTTACATTAATCCTGATATACAGAGGGGTCCAAAAAATGTACTCACTCTTTGATAGTCAATATCTTTGGAACAAAATGACATGTAGTTACAGTTCTTGTGCAGAGAGAGAGAGAGAGAGTCATTGTATGTGTTCGAAGTGACCACCATGAGTGGCTAAACAGCGTCGATGCTGCCGAACTGCTGAGCGAACTACAGCTGTCAGTGTGTCTGGTGTGATGGCTGCACACGATGCTTCAATGGTTTCTTGCAGCGCGTTCAGTTTAGCTGGCTTTTGTCGATAAACTTCATCCTTCAAGCTTCCCTATAGGTAGAAGTTGAGAGGTGTTAGGTCTGGAGACCGTGGTGGGTACTCAATAGCACCTCTTCGACCTATCCATCATCCAGGTAGTGTCATCCAAGTATGCCCTGACATCTCGATGGTAGTGAGGTGGAGCACCATCTTGTTGTAGGTAAAATCTCTCATCTCCAAACAGCTCTCGAATGGCAGATTTTTGTGGTGATCGTGAAAAGTGTTGCAACACCACAGCACTGGAAGCTGGACTTGTTACTATCCGTGGTTGCCCCAATCTTTGCTTATGCACATCATGAATAGTACCGTCAGCTTCAAATTTATCCCGAATACGGGCAATTGTTCAACGTGTTGGTGGCTGAGTTCCAAACTCATTCTGCCATTGCCTTGCGTTGCTCAAAGAACAATCTTTCAGCCATTGTTGCTGCTGTTTTCTGCTCACAGCGCACATGCAGCACGACACTTGTGTGACTCATGTGACCTTCGCTATCTGTTGAGAAAACATTACACTACACTACCACGCAAGAATTGTAACTACATGTCATTTTATTCCAAAGATATTGACTATGAAAGAGTGAGTACATTTTTTTTGATCCCCCTGTATTTATATCTGTGTTCATATAATAGTTACCTGTAGTAATTCTTGCAAGAAAAAGAAATGTTTACATTTTAAAACAAAAGTTCATAACAAATGCTTCTACAAGACTGTCACAGACACATGGGAGTAACACATTTCTAGCCATGGTCCATATGATGCAGAATAACAAAACAAAAGTTAGAGAAGGCTATCAACTATGTCCAGTGTGACTGATGTTTCTTCCCCCTCTCCTTTTTAATCTTTCATCCTTGACATGTTTTGGTCTGAGACACTATCTTCAGAAGGATATATCAATACGGCAGAAACTACTATTAAAATGTGACTGGTCAATATCAATACGTACATACAATATCATTACAATGTCATGAATATAAAATCTGATCCTTTATCAGCTACAGTGATGTGCATGAATATATTAAAATGTTTATAAATTATTATAATTAGTTCATTTACAAGTGTGGTTTAAAAAGAGTTTGTTAAAATTTAGAACCAATTTGGTTCGTGTCCTTTACAGTGCCTCTCTTTAAAGGAAGTTGAGTGTCTACCATGTCGTGGTTCCGTTGTTTCATGAATAAGATTCTTTACTGTCATCCTGTTGTTTGGGCCGTGCTGTATTGCTATACACACACACACACACACAACACAGCACAACCTGAACAAAATGATGACACTAAAGAGTTCTAAACATTGTAACCTCTCAAATTGTATTCTTTTCTTCATTATGCATAAATATTAAAGCGTTCTTTCTACTTGTCTCATCAAATACTTAAATTATAGCAAAAAGAAAGTAGATGATTAGTTCTTCCCAGAATTTTTTGTTATAAATTATAAAATAAAATTTTGATTCTGAAGATTTCTAATGATTGTGTGTAACACTCAGAATTATCAGTTTTTGGACTCTGTACATCCTCCGGTATTCTAAAAAACTAGAGAACACAATGTTTCAGAAACTGAATTTATTTCAGTCATCAGGTGAGGGGAAACCACCTACTTTGTTGGGTCCCTTAGAAAGAGCTAACCTCAGTCACTCAATCCAATGACTGAAGTCTGCTCTTTCTAAGGGGCCCAACAGATTGGGTGTCTGCCCCCTCAACTGAAGACAACAACAGATCCAGTTTCTGAAATGTTGTGTTCTATAATTTTTTAAAACACCAGATGATGGACAAAATCCAAAAACCCAGCATTTCTGAAAATAAAACTTGAATTACTTCTGCAAGTTGGAAAGGCTGCAGATGTTGAAAGAATTCAATAAGAAACCTGTACATACTGTCAAATTTAAGGGTAAAGAATAAAATAATTTCCTGTAAAACAGTTAATTTTAATACTGAAGTACTTCTCACCTTTATGAGCTTCTCACGCTCACTGTTTATTTCGTCTTTTGTCTGCTGATGAACATTATTAATTTCTTCATGCCAACGGTGTTGTAGTTGTTCTATCTCCTGCTCTTTCACCTTCAGTTTCTTTGAAAGATCCTCAGCTCGGGTTTCTGCCTGAGAAGCTTTAGATTCTGCATGACTCAGTGCATCCTATGTGTGAAAAATCCGCATTCAAATAAAAAAAACTGGGTTAACTAATTCAATAATTGCTTCAGTTCAGTCATACTGCTGTATCACTGAACTGGAGTAATTACAATTTGTAACTGCTCATGACAGAGGAAAGGACTGATGAAATTTTATTACCACTTCAGAACAATTGGGGAGGAGTGCAAGATGCCTGGATTGAACGAAAACAATAGGAACACCATAAACACAGTAAATTCTTTGGTGAGATGGATACTGAAGACAAATTTCCTGCTGAGACACCAACTTATATATAAATCAGCAGAGTCTTTTCAATTCAAATCACTGTCCAAATATTTTAACTTCCATGGATATTTTCACTTTGATGATTTTGTAATTTTTTATGTGTACCTTCTCATTTAAATTTTAGCATTTTTTGCAAAGAAGTAACACTGTGCTCACACAACATATATTAATACTTCTAACAGCTCTACCTGCATCTATCAACTGTAAACAATAATACTGTCACATGTTAGTGAATAGACACAGGGCTTGGACTAGTAATTGGATTTATTGAACCCTCATGACCCGTAACTACAAATCAATATAATGCTCTCAGTAATCTACACACTTAACCACTACAGCACACACTAAGTCTCAGTCTGTTATAGTATTCATTGGTTGCTGCTAGTCAGCAGCTCTCAGTGATGGGGATTCCTCCACTTCCATACTCACATCCCTGATGGCTGGCTACTGTCTCACAACTCCTTCATGACTCAGCTAATTTGCCCATAGTTCTCATTATATAACCTCAGCAGGGACCACAGGGCAAACACCGCTTCCAGCAATTATCCTACTGTTGAGTGCGTATCCACTGCTACAGACATGTGTTTACCATGCCATTGCCTAGCAATGGTTGCCTCTTCTGGCTGCACTGTTCTGGTTTTCAGCCTCAAGTCACAATGTTGCATAAAAACAATGTACCTGAACACTGTATATAACTTAGTGTTTATTCTTTGTCTAACTTATGTGACTTTTGTGATGTTCTGATGGCTGCAAGGTTATTACCACACTGTTAAATTTCATGAACTTACTTTGCTATTCATAGGACATGTTTCAACCTTACATGGTCATGGTTTTCCTATGGTACATCATAAATACCACACAGTCAACAAAAACTTCATGCAAGTTGTATTAATAAGATTGAAAATAAACACTAAGTAATCAATCAATGCAACAGGATGCTAAAATATATCACAAATAGTGTATATAAGTTTGTAGTGTTCTTAAACATAATAAATATTTATACCTTTAACAGTTTTAGTTGAACAGCCAAGTGCTTCTTAACTTCAGCATCAGTTCCTATGCTTATTTTGAGACAGAGATGACACAGCTGTTTGAATTGGTTTGTTTCAATGATCTTCATCACAGTTTGGGGCAACCCAAATGTTTCTCCAACTGCTTCTTCAACAATGAGATGGTAGCTGAAAGTAAATCCCATTTCAATCAAACCTGCAAGTTACTTGATACAACTTCCAGTCCTGTCTACTTTATAACCTGTTCTTTGTTTCATTTGTAAAACTGTATTCATGTCTGCCAAGTTATTAATTATCTTTCATGCGGATGAAAAATAACTTGTAAGATTTGCTGTTCTCATGGGACATGATGTATTGAAGTCTGGGGCCCTGAAAATGGAGGCAGCAGGTACCTTTCTGTCAGACTATGGTGTCACATCCCAAAAGACAGCAATCTTCATTGAGAAGAAACTTCGTTACCAACGTACCAGCTTCTATTACAGAATTCAATAGACATAGATCCACCTTAACTTCAAATGAAATATCCAACTGTTTAAACTCAAAAAGTACTTACTTGCTCCCATCACTGTTGCAAAAGTGAAGTAACTTTATCATCTGCTGAGGAAATTTATCATACTCAACAAGAAGTCCCTGTTGCTCTTTGATTGCTTGGAAATCGACTTCACTGATAACAAGGGTGTACAACATAAAAGGGTCATCGTCATCCGTAATTTGAATAGACAGGCTCTACAGGCATACAAACATAAACACAAATATTTATAAAGACAATACACAAATGTGCAACATAAAAATACGTAAAATAGCTTGGGTAATTTGTATTCTAAGGTCACAACATATTTTATTATATTCTATTATTAAAACAACTTCTAAACACACGGTTTGAAATCTACGATTAAACACACATGGTATCACCAGACAGAAACAAGTCAGTGCAAAATAAAGGCAGAATCTAACATCAGCTATGTCAGTTCCTAATTCCTTACTCCTCTTCAAGTTTCATGTTCAGCTCATGATATAACAGTGACTTCAGAAGATTAAAATGACCAAAAAATCCCAAGTGTAACTTCACAATTGAAGGCACTATACTGTTAGGTGATAGTGACTATATACAGAGTTTGGATTGGTAACTGTATTTGACACTGAATTATCAGATTTACAAATAATTACACCGTTCACAAGTATACAGTATTGTTTCACAACTTGTTATATTACTTTTGGTTGGTACCTTGCTGGCTCTGTTATCACAGACATGTTGTTTGGTTTTGGGCTCTGATAACAGGGCCTCTTTTGTCAGCTTGCAGTCTCTCTGCATATTGCTTTGTTGTGCACCAATAACCACCACCTCCCAAAGATCCTCAATGGTTGTGTACATTCATGTCTGTCAGTGAATGGTTGTTGTGTATGTAAGTGACTGCTGGTGATTGTACCTAGTAATGGATGTCTCTGTGACATTCTTCTGATTCAAAGATTCTCAGTAACATATTTTAGCGTCCTGTTGCACTGATTTTCATCCATGATATGTATACAGATGCCGTCTTGTAGTGCACTCAATTTCACCTGTTACTTCACGACATGTTTCGGCAACACAGTGCCATCATCAGGTGCCCTAATTATGCTAATCTATTTCATTGCTTGCATTTATAAAATTATTTAAAAAATATTTAAAAAGTGCGTATTTGTCAACTATAATAAATTTACACACACTAAAACTTGTTAAGATTATTCATCTTATGTGTCATAATTAAAACTTGCATGTGGTTCTTCCACTATGGGGATTGTTTTTCTTATATTTTGCGTAAACCGTGTCTTGTGATGTGTGTTCCCTTCTTAGCTGTGACTGTTGTTCTCAGTAACAACTTGTTCATTGTTAAAATTTATACAAGTTTCATTTAGTAAAGTGAAGTAAGTCACTGGAAGGCGCCAATAATACAAGAACAACGATAGTATTAAGAGACAGTTCATTAAGCAAGTCCAAGTAACTAAATTGAGCCATTATAATTCAATGTGAACAAGAAATAATATCTTGAGAGGAACTGTGATTGTGTTAGTGCAAATTTGGTAGCATAAGTTTCTTCTTGTCCTGCCGGAGCAAGGCCTGTTAATGAGCTGAGATTAGAGTTTAACTCTACTTATACCCGAGCATACTGGCTAACCTAGGTAACTCACCTGAGCATACAATAACCCAAACATAAGCAACACTTGTAAGCTTACTGGTGGTGCCCAAACAATCGTTCTCCTTCCTTTCTAAGTAAGTACCCATTCAACAGTAAGAAGGTGAAGGAGTAAAGAGAACATGACAACCAAGAAGAGATTGGGAAGTAGCTGTGCAACGTGAGAATCATCAGCTACAGAAGTGTCACTACATAGTGCAGCGATTACAGAAGTGTCACGGAAAAAAAGGAGCAGTTAAACCTCCAAACATAACAGTAACAGAAGACATTACTCCTTTTAGTGATAGAGCATACAATAGTTACATACCTTATTAATAATTACTCATAATAGTGAATCATTATATACGTAACAAAGCAGTAAATCAAGCGAATGCTAAAAGAAGGCATTATAATCAATTCACATTAGAGGAAGACACATAGCAAGATGTTAGATTTGAAGTTATCACGCTGGTGACTAGAAGAACATTATTGTGTGTAATGTGACACCATTCAGTCCAGCAGAAGTTTACTGATGTCCCAGAGGACCATATTGACTTCACCTTCAGGACTGATTTCTGAATATAGAGGCTGTACATTCTTCTGCAACACTGGTAAGCTTCTATCCAACTACATGGTGTTACATCCCAAAAGGTAGCATTCTTCACACACCAAGATGGTCCAGAAACCATATGGCAGGATCCATGAAAGAAGAACCTATATTATGTGACACTGAAAGGCGTGACACATCAAAATGGCAGAAATATTTTACATCATATTCTGAAGGGCTCTGACAATGGTGGATAACATTCAGAATTACTGCATTTTTGGACTTTGTTCATTGTCCAGTATTCTAAAAACTAGATAACACAATGTTTCAGAAATTGGATTTGTAGGTGTCTCCTCCTCACTTGAGGAAGGAAACAGATTCAACTTCTGAAACATTGTGTTCTCTAGTTTTTTTGAATATCAGACAATGGACAAAGCTAAAAACCTAGTAATTCTGAAGATTTTGTAGTATGCTTACCAAAGTCTTATCACTGAATTAGGATTTTATTTACTGCTAGCAGACATAAATAAAACAGTTGTAAACCATGTGTCCCCAAACCTCTTAGTGAATTTGAGTCTCATTTCATTACCTGACCTAATATAAATGATTCTACCTTACACAGGCGGTCATAATATTGTAAAGGCATACTCAAGATTACATAATTTGTTTCCAACAGCAGGAGAGGATGTTTACATTTGTATTCTATTATTTTTTATTAATAGAGCACGCTCTGATAATCACATACAAAAGTTTAAATTATTACAATTAGCTATACATATGTAATCAGCAGTAACTGACATTTTCTTTACCATCAGTTAGCCATAGTTTCTAGACTTTTGATTTAATTTTATAACGAATAAGAAATATACCAATACAGTACATACAATTAACTGTTTTGATTATACAAACCTTCTCAGAAACAGGGCTAACAACAGTCACATAACAGACTACTAGTTTCAATAATTTGGTGCGGTCTTCTTTCCCTTTACTTTTCATAAATATTCGCTGTAGTTCTGAATAAATTACATCTGAAGTAGTGAGACAGTTCACTGTATCTTCATTTCCACGGAAGCTCTGCATCATTACAGGCATGAAACCAAATTAGCTTTCATTCCAAAACAACACCTAGAATAAAAATTGTAACCCTAAAATGCTGACATATCATAGATGAATCTGGCTTCATAAGGCTTCTGGATCTAACAGAGTAAACCCTTGTTATAACATACCTGGATATGAGACAAAATCTGGCTGTGTACAGTTGTGAATTTTTAAAGATGCTGAGGCACTAAGAAGCTTTCGTGGCTGGAAAACTATTTAAAATAAAAAAGAGCCTCAATATAAAAACCTTTATTTAATCATACCTTCAGTTGATTATAGTGGACATCTGAGATAACGGACAACCCATTCCACCTAACAGTCCACTACAATGAGGGGTTGCTGTACATGAGAGTCAAACATTTGAAGCAGACAGCAGTAAAAGAAACAAATTAGTGTTCAAATCAGGAGTCTCAAACTCTATGCTGACCAAACTGATAATTCCAAAATTTAAGGCAGGCCATAATTCTTCAATACTTTTATTCTCCAGGGGCACATGGCAGTGTAGTTGGTTGAGACATTATGCTACAAGCTGGAAGGTCACAGGTTTGAGCCCCAATGAGGTGGATCTTTTTTTTCAATTTACCTAATCCTTCCAGCCTCATTATGGCCCTGGGGTCGACTCAGCCTCCAATAAAAATGAGTACCAGGAATCTTCCTGGGGGATAAAGGGTGGCCAGGGTGTAAGGCTGACAAACTTACTGTCATCTGTGAACCGACTGTCTAGAGAAAATGTGGGAGCCTTGACATCTCACAACCTTATGAGCCTTCATGGTCTGTTACAGGGCTAACTGTACCTTTACCTTTCATTCTCCTTTCTTACAACAAAATTGGTCCATCTCAACAAATTGAAACATCTTCACATAACGGATCATTAACTTAATGATCCGACACTTGTATGATAAATAAATTCAGTGTTCATTTTCTTTTCCTCTGGCAGAAAGACCTGGGGTAATTCCGAACCCCATGGCAATCACTACAACCCACAGCACAGTGCATCTGAGAAGAACTGTTGTTTCCCATGATATGAGAATATCAACCACGAAATCTAGAGAGGAGGTGTAGCAAACTCTTCTGAGCCCCACAAGATGAAAAACACTTTTAATTCTTTAAACTGAAGAAAAATGCTCAACACTGCCACATTTTATGATTACCATACAATCAGCAAGCCAGCGATACAAAATAATTTGCAGGCTGAATGTTTGGGACCCCTGGTTTAGAACTATATGGTGTGAAGAATACTGAATGTTGTACTGACCTGTGAAGCATATTTCAACAGACTGAATGGACACAATCCAGAACTTTCTCTACTGATAATATACATATATTATAAAACATAACACATGAATATCCCAGTCAGGCAGTGTGCATTCCTGCTTTGTATTTTGCAGGTTCAGCATTCAAATCTCAATCCAGAGACCAGCTATCCTGACTGTGGTTTACAGCGATCTTCCTCGGTCCTCCAGGCAAATCTTGTGACAGTACCTCAAATTAGGCCATGACAACTTTCTTCCTCATTACAATTCATTCACTAACCATCCTATCATTCGACACCATATAATTTGGTCTCCTGAAACTGGAGCTAAGGCATAAATAAAACGTAATGCAAATGTTTTTCTTAACATTTTAAACACCTTGGGGTTAAATTCTAGCATATGCAACATTAAGGAGCCATGGTTATTTGTACCATACTGTGCCCGATTAACTGCTGTAGGGCAGATTCGCCAATATTCGAGCTCGTAACTACAAATAAGAAATAAAAATCAAGGGATATAGTTTGGTTACATAGGTGAATAGTAGGATGAGGTCTAGTACTAACTCTAACGACCTAATTTAGAGTAGTCACTATAAAGATAAGTTGATCCTTTAACCCACCATATTCATTTTCTGTTTAACAAAACCATGTCCAGCAACTGAAAATGCAGTTACAACAATCAACGCTTACACCTGACTCTCACATTCACCCACACCGGCTTACATTTACTAAACAACTTTGAAAGTTTTGAAATATAAACACTGCGGGTTACAAACATAACTCAACACTTAGAGCTACAGATTATCAACATAGCATCCCGTGTACTGAGCTACCATCTCTGAACTATACCTGGCTACGGCGACAGCGGTGGCAGCGGTAGCCCAATCGGCAAGAAGATTAACTGTTATTCAACCGACACAATTCCGTCCACTCGTAGCCTCCCCAGCAAACCTAAAACATTCATGTGGTGGCGTAGTCGGTATAGCGGCTGGCTACGGGCTGGATGACCGTGAGGTAAGGTCAAGAATATTCTCTTGCGACGGGCTGATCCCCTGTCTAAAGAATCATACCGACTGTGTATGGGATTAAGAAACTGAAAAAGTGACCAAGATGCAAAGGGCTGCACAGCCATAGATGAATTATTACTAGCCAACGTATACTACGAGTACTTTTTTATTACAGTAATTCAAGCTGAATTTTTACCTGAGTAGCCGCACGAGCGAGCGCAATTTTGGCGTGGCTAACCGGCCAGGCTTAGGTTGAAATTTCCGCTATATCTTTATTGTTTCCAAAGTAAAATTAATAACCTTAAGCAATATCTTTCAGTGGCCTGTAGTCCGCAAGCGAACTATACCGACCGATCGACTGCCGCTTGTCGGCGAAGTTAATGCCAACTTTTGCGGATAGAGGGTGTCACGTAGTCAGCCCAACGGATCCCCACGGTCAGCACTGCGGAGTGGAAGTTAATGAGAGGTCCGAGTTGGAGGCAAAGCAAGAAATCAAAGAAGGCAGAGATAGTCAATTATTATTATCAGTTGCAGATCTTAAAACGCAGTGGAAAGAGAAAGATAAAGAAGAACTTCTCAGGTTTTGTCAAAACACCAAGCGGGACAGAGGAGAAAACTACTCTGAAAGGTACTACAAGAATGGCTCGTCTCCGTGGTTCCGACAGATAAAAATGAACCGCTGTGCCTTCATGTCAATAAACCGTATGAGAGCGGGACACACCAGTCTCAAAGCAGGCCTCAACAGATTTAACAGTGTGTCCACGGCCGAATGCGAATGTGGTGATGGGTTGCAAACTGAGGAACATATCTTCTGGGACTGTAAACTGTACGAGGACCAACGGGCAACAGTGATGGACATTTTGTCTGAGACCAGCAAAAAGGAATACCCAAAGTCAGTTAATGAAATTTTAAGGCTAGAAGAAAAAAGATTTCTGCAAGGCGTCTGTTATTTCATAAACAACATTCCTATATTTATATAAAATAGATACGTAAGAAAAGTAAAAGAAGTAATTGTACTGATCATTAACAGTACACTCTCAGCTTAAGTTAAGATCTATCTTAAGAATCGCTGGTTAACCGCTGTAATAGAATAAGATATTTACAAGAATGTGCTACAGAAGGCCGGATGGGCAATACCTAGGCCTTTTTTGTATTTACAATATTTTTCTACAATAAAAATAGATCCCTACGGCCGTTAATCTCGGTTAAGTAATATACTGACCATAAACCGAATATGACTTTACTTGGATTCATAATCGCTTGAAAGTCTTTCCTAACTAGGCTATCGTTTTTAGGCGCGTCAAAGTGACGCATCATCATCATCATCAGTAATCTGTCAAGACGACAGGTCCACAGTCTCTTTCAAAACAATTCCTCCACTTAATGCGATCTAGAGCTTTCTCCTTCAAATGACAGTATCCTCTTCTGTCCCCAAGGTCATCCAGCATCTTCTTACGTCTTCTTCCTCGTCTTCTTGTCACTTCTATCCGCCCATCTATCTTTCCTTCGATAGCTTCTTTTAGAAGGCAGTTTCTGCGTAAAACATGACCAATCCAATTAGCCTTCCGTTTTCTTATTTCATGTAGGATATTCCTCTGCTCACTGACTCTAATTAACACTTCTTCATTTCTCACATAATCGGTCCAACTGATCTTCTCCATTCTTCTCCAACACCACATTTCGAAACTTTCCAGATGTTTCTGATCTACTGCCCTAAGTGTCCATGTTTCAGCCCCATACAGAGCTATGCTCCAAATGTAGCATTTCACTAGTTTCTTCCTCAAATTTAAGTCCAATTTGCTGGTAAAAAGATTCTTCTTCTTGCTAAATGCAGCTTTTGCCATGGCAATCCTGGATTTAATTTCACAAGTACACCTTCCATCATCTGTTAACAAGCTACCCAAATATTTAAAACATTTCACATTCTCCACTTGTTTTTGGTCTATCTTTATTGTGACTGGGGTTGGTTGTCTCGAAATTTTCATTACTTTTGTTTTCTCCACATTCATTTCCATGCCATAGCACCTTCCAATTTCAATTAGTCTATCAATCATGCCCTGTAGCACAGTAAAGTGACACAGTCACCCAAAATTATTTTTATATGCGATTCGTGAATGTACATGTTACATTGAATTTGCGGGACATAACGTTTCGGGAAGCACTGATCTACGTGTTAATATCCAAAAGTATTGTAAATTCATAGAAAATATTATGGTTTAATATCCTGGGAAAATTGTTTGAAAATTTACATCCAGTAATTCAATGCAAGATTTTGCACACGAACTCAAAAATCCCAATATTCAATACTTAACGCAAGCGACTTTGATATTTCATACGGTGTCATTAACTGACGCATGTTCCATGGATTATTTTAATAGACAAATTCGTTATTTGGTGGAATTCTATTAACTCCAGTATTTACTGACCAATTAGTGAGATGCGAGGATGATTACGAATAATGAATCGGGAAGATTCAGAGAGAGGGCGATCATGGCTTATTTCATGACAGGACTATTATCGCTAGTGTTTTAAGTGATCGAGAAAGCTAACGAAAAATATCTGGCCTAGCTTGTGTTCCGTTCAAGATTCTAAACAACTGCCTTCAAAATATGAGCCAGAAACTCCACTATTGTAGCAGTATATTAGAAAGCGGTGCGCTTTGTATTGAATTGGATGAAAATTCGTGACTGCATTTGTTACATTACCATTTTTCACGATATATTTCTTTCGTTTCCATCAGTCACGCGACTTGCATAAAGTATTTGCAGTCACGGATTTGAGTAGCAACACACTAACGTTGTCAATTAGAACAGAGCAAACAGAGTGCGCTTAGGTCAGAAAATGCTGGCATCTAAAGTTTGAGACAAGCATCATGCATGGAATCAATAGGCAGGACGACCGGCGCAGCTGCTGGCTCACTCTGGAGGAAACTGGCGGAAACACATCTGGAACAGATACACATTCAACGCAAAATATTTCCGAGCCTGAGCAACGTCACAGAAGAATGACTAAGGATGGAAAGAGTAAGGGGGGCTGTACAAAACGGGATTGTGTTCTTTTCGTATGCGATATTGCTTGGCGGGCTTCTCTTTCCCGTTTTCGTATTTGCAACGGTGAACGGGGCTCGGAGATATTTTTCTACGTCTGTACTTATGCCATGCAACGAGTCTCTTTAATTAAATCGATTTTCTGAGGGATATTTCCATAACATGTTACTTTCCGGTATTGTACGTTCATTACTATTTACTTTGTTTTTTAACGGATTGTCGGTATTGTAATAAAACTGTATCAGCTTCTGTGGTTGATTTGTAGATCAACTTTTGGAGCTTAGTCGAGTCGTATGCAGAAGCTACTAATTTTTTTCAGCGTACATTGTAATCGCCATATTGAGGATATGCTGAGTTATTTTGTTTCGGCGTGCACTGCAATCGCCGTCTTCAGGCACTAAAATGTACAATGAAACGTTGTAACATCTTTAACATACGACGGAACTAAACCCAGAATATCGAAGTTACACATTAGACACAGAAAGTTCGAACCTAAAATCGAGAAATTATTTGGTTCTTTCATCTTTGACCGAAGACAACAAGTGACTACGAACATGATAGAAAGCGGTGACATGGCGTAAGTTACATCCGTACGAGACTGTTCATGACATATTCCATAAGAACAAAGAATAATTCAGTCTGCCTCTCTAAGATGGAAAGAAGGTCTATGAGATTGTTTTCACGGCACTGACAATATTACATTTTTGGGGTTGTGTACAGTGATGGTCTTCCATTTTATTATACGACAGAGTGAGCTCACTTCCGGGATGTGACGACATGTAGTCCGGTAGAAGTTCATCAATGTTTCGGAGGACAGTACTGACTGCTTCTAAAGGGTCGAGGATATAGTAAGCAACGAGAACAATAAGCATGCAACAAACTGAGGATATCTTCGACCCTGAAAATAGAAGCAGCTGGGAAATATCGGTGAAATTCTTTCAGACTATACGGTGTCACATCCAAGAATAAAGAACTCTTCATAATAACTGCTCTTAGAACCTCAAATCCAAAGTAATATACATGTACCATATTTGACGTACTGTGCGAATAAAGTTTATTGACTACTCTGTCAAAAGAATAGCTTTCAAAACTGTGTTCTAAGTCTAGGATGGTAACAGAAAATTCAGCGAAGACGTTCAGGTTTAAAGGAATTTGAAACTGATGTTGAAAACAAAGTAACGCCGAAATGATGGATATTCACCACACTGAAATAAAGATCTAAAACGAATATAGACCACCCTTTCGCTCTTTTTTTCCTTACTCCGAGCCTTTTGACTCACTTATGTAGTGTAGGTAGAACCTCTTTCTCATAGACAGGTGACGTGGGTAGACAAAACGAGTACAGGAAAAGAGTGGCACATTAAAGAAATGACGCGTCATTTTATTAGTTACCAAATTGTCGAGAAATGGAAACGCGGTAGAAGGGAGAGTAACACTGAGTAGTCTGAACAGACGATAAGAAGTGTAAGTAGTGATATACGTAGTAACTCAGGCGAAACGTTTACAAGGAACAGAAAGGAGGGAAATAAACATACACACGACAGACGAAAAAGCAGAAGAGAGCGTGAAAGTTTTAATCCCAAGGAAATCCTTCTCTCTCCTGTTTAGGATAACATGTGGTTCGCTATGAATATTTACTGTCTGTGCACTGAGCACTCGAGTTTGAAGCAAGAATATTTAGGGCGAATTCATATGGTTGTTTCATTATGAGAGAGGGAGATATTTTCCGCCTATAATTTCTCGTTCACCTGTTCGAAAT